ACGAGAAATATATACCCTACTTCACATGTTTAGGGCTCATGCGCTGCACGGTCATGCGCGTTGCAAGGTGACCGACTGTAAGTTAGAGTAGTTAAAGACATCGTCTCATGCAGTATGCTGGGGCACTCGCACACATACTCTCTCTCTCTCTCTCTCAAAAACGGCTCTACGCAAACAAAAAGACATGTACCAGGACCCAGAGTAGTCCCTTATTCCTCCTTTCTTTTAGGGCTTAGGCTCACTCATACGCCCGTTTAAACCAAAAAGGGCACCCTTACTCCTGAGTCTAGTCATCTGCAACAAGCTTCCATTCGGCCAGGCGGAAGGCCCGAAAGCCGCTAGCCAACGCGCCCGAAGATTTCAGACTCCTGATCCCTGTTTCTGCGCCCTTGAGGGTTTAGGGTGTCTGGTTTGCGGTTTAAGGCTTAGGAGTTGGGGTTTAGGGTTTGGGGCACTGCAGGTCCTTCCCACTACGCTCTACGTTCCGATCGATGGGTCACCGCAAGGAAATATCAATGAAATGAACTGCCAGATGCCCAGTTAGCCGGTGTTGTTCGCACAGAAGCAGGGCGACATTCGCCTTTGTGCTCCTTGGAACCCGTGGATCAGGGATCATCCTGCAGTCAGCCCCAGGCCCGATTTCCCTAAGCCCTAGGCCCTAGACCCTGAACCCCTTAAGCCCTAAACCCCTTCAACCCCAAACCCCTGAAACCCTAAACCCCTTAGACCCAAAACCCCTTAAACCCTAAACCTTAAGCCCTTCTCTTTCTCGTGAGATTCAACACCGAGGTGATCCTGGCTCTCCGATTGGCTGCCGCTTGTCGGGCGGAGTGCGACAAGACTACAAGGCCTTCTGAGCCCTAAACCCAGGCCCCAAACCCTAAACCTTAAATCCGAACCTAAACCCTAAACCTCAGGTGAACTGCACCGTAAGCCCTAAACCCTACATCCCTAAACCCTAAACCCGAAACCCTAAACCCTAAACCCTAAACCCTAAACCCTAAACCCTAAACCCTAAACCCTAAATCCTAAATCCTAAATCCTAAACCCTAAATCCTAAATCCTAAGCCTTGGCAGACCTTTGGCGGCAGCTACGGATTCCGATACATCATGGGAAGCACCAATCACGAGGCAGGGTTTCGGGGGTTTGCCGAAAACCACGGGGTGCCCTTTGTGGGGGTCCCTCTAAGGGTTTTAGGGTTTCGGGTGAAGGGAAGGGGGCGCCTATGCTTTCGGGAAATGCCCTCAGGGCTTAAGGGTTCACAGTTGTTTTTCGTGCAGTCCGATTCTGCGACGCAGCCTTGGGCTAGATCTCACTTGGAGCCTTTGACAGGCGAGAGGCTTCCACACCTCCAAAGACGTGGACGTGTGCTACTGCAACGGCGACTGCGACGTCGGACCCTTGAAGCTGTTGCCCCGTGTGCTCTCCAGTCCGGGTGTCATGCAGACCCTCTGAAGTCACACGCGAGCCTAAAGAACTGCCAACGTTATGGCCGTGAAATGCTTGTGTGGTTTTGTAAGAGTATACGAGCCAAAGTTCATATTCTTATTCAATGAGTGGAGGCCACGTGTATGGTCCAATAGTCCGTGCTTGAAGATTCGTGGGTGGCGAGGACTCAGCAGGATTGCCAAGGGTACAGCATGAAGGCTACTTGTTAATAAGTAAAAGGTGCACGGAGAAACTACCCACTAACCTTGAAGCAGTCTTATGCTCAGGTGGATGCCAACTGGTTCAAGGTGGGCAGCCTGAGATTGAGTGAGGGGCTCAGTTTTGTCATTGTTGGGTAATACCCCCCCCCCCCTTCCAAACCTCTTCACTTGCCAAGTGGGCGATATGGGGGTTTACGAAAACAAGGGACCCCTAATAGAGTCCCCAAACAGTCGGATCCCCTTAGAAGACGGACGCCAAGAAGGTACCCCTACTTTCGGGGACCCCGCCATATTTCAAGGCGGGAATTCACCCGTTGCACCCTTAGCTATACGAAGCATAGGTTCCTGTGAGCGCTAGGGTTTAGGGTTTAGGGTTTAGGGTTTAGGGTTTAGGGTTTAGGGTTTAGGGTTTAGGGTTTAGGGTTTAGAGATTCATATTCGTATGCTGCTTCTGAATCTTACCAAGAAATGTTGTTGTCAGTTCTTCATTTCGGTATCCAAAATTCAAGAAGCCCTAAACCATCAGTGCGGGAATGCCCACTTGCGGTGCTGGCAAACGTGCAGGGCATATGAGGATGTGCTGGAGTCAGAACTCTAAGCCCTGTCACCAAAGCCTAAACCCTAAACCCTAAACCCTAAACCCTTAACCCTTAACCCTAAACCCTAAACCCTTAACCCTAAACCCTAAACCCTAAACCTAAAGCCTGACACCCTAAACTCCAAAAAGAGCCCCCACACAGTGAACCCTAAACCCCCATGCCTTTATTCGAGGAGTGGGAAGATGCTGCGCGGCTGAGTAGGTATCTGCTAACGATTTTGGTATATATATATATATATATGGTCATTTATATATATATATATGTATATATCTAGAATCCTACCATACTTGAAAGGTGACTCTTTTTTTGGCCCAGGGTACTGAGCCCCAAAGGGACGCCCTAAGCCCTAAACCCTCAATTCCCAAGCCCTCAAAGCAAACCTCGAACCCTCAGCCGGTTCGGGCTTTGAGGGTTCAGGGTATTGGGGGTTTGCGAGCTTAGTGTTCGGCTTTTAAGGAAAGTTGCATGGCCCCTGAATGCGGTCCCTTGCCTTCTTTAAAGGGTTCTGAGGTAAGGGCCCTTGTGCTTTATATGGGGTCTATTGGGGTTCCCCATAGAAGGGACCATAAAAGCGACCCTTGGAACCCCAGACAGCCTAAGCTCTCAACGCCAACTCCTCAACCCGAGTTTGAGACTAAAGCTGCCCAAGCCTTGCATCGCGAGCAGTCATTCATTCGACCCTAACTACCAAACACAAAGCAACAATCTGTCTCTCTCTCTCCCTCTGTCTTTCTCTCTCTCTCTCTCTCTCCCAAACGCAAGAGTATCATAGAAATCTGTTGCTGTTGATGCGCGCAAGACGTTGTAAACATGGCAAGACATAGGCGCTCTAACCCTTAAACCCTAAACCCGAATCCCTAGACTCCAAGCCCTAAACCCCAGACCCTAAACCCTAACCCCAGACCCCAAAACCCAAACCCGAAGCCTTAAACCCCAAACCCCCGTGGACTTTTCAGGTTCCACGCGCCTCGTGAGCGCAGCTACGTCAAGGCCATCGCGTGGTTGCTGGGTCTGCTGCTTTCAAGTGGGCTGTTAGTACAGGAGCCTCAATACAGCACCAGCAAATATCCTAAACCCTAAACCCTAAACCCTAAGCCCTAAACCCTAAACCCTAAACCCTAAACCCTGAACCCTGAACCCTGAACCGTGAACCGTGAACCCTGAACCCTGAACCCTGAACCCTGAACCCTGAACCCTAAACCCTAAACCCTAAACCCTACCCGGGCAAGCCCCTTCGAAATCAACAGGCCCCCTATAGCAGCGGACTTCAAGCCCCAACTTGCCAAAGAGGCGTCATCTCGTCTTGGTGGTAGATGAACTTTCAGGCTCTGTGGTCCTAAACCCTAACCCTAAACCCTAAACCCTAAACCGTAAACCCTAAACCCTAAACCCTAAACCCTAAACCCTAGACCCTAGACCCTAAACCCTAAACCCTAAACCCTAAACCTAAACCCTTAACCCTAGCCCCCTGAACCCTGAACCCTGAACCGTGAACCCTGAACCCTGAACCCTGAGCTCTGAACGCTAAAGCCCCAAAAGTTGTGAGGACTTGTGAATGTAGGGTTTCGGGTTTAGAGTGTCGGGTTTAGGGTTTAGGGTTTGGAACCATGGGCCCTTAGTATGGTCCCTTACCCTGTTTATAGGGATCCGAAGTGAGGGCCCCTAAACCCTAAACCCTAACCCCAAACCCTAAGCCCTAAACCCTAAACCCCAAGCCCTATGGCTGTTTTGGCAGGTCCGATCTACCGGCGCAATGGTCCGTGGAGTTCGTGAACCAGCCTGGCATCATTGGGCACACACCTGAGTTTTCGTGTGCGCAAGGGATGGGTTTTGGGTTTAGGGTTTAGGGTTTAGGGTTTAGGGTTTAGGGTTTAGGTTTAGGGTTTAGGGTGTAGGGTTTAGGTTTAGGGTTTAGGGTTTAGGGTTCAGGGTTTAGCGTTTAGGGTTTAGGGTTTCGGGTTTAGGGTTTAGGGTTTGCGCGCGGGGTGGGGCGGCGAGATAGGCCGGGGCAGCTTCGACAGTCTTATGGAGAGACCCTAAAACCCTAAAACCCTAAAACCCTAAAAACCTAAAACCCTAAACCCCAAACCCTAAACCCTAAACCCTAAACCCTAAACCCTAAACCCTAAACCCTAAACCCTAAACACACCCTGAACCGCCCCAAGCTCGATGCGCCCAGGCTCTACAGGCCCTATGCTGACGGTGGCGTGCTGGGTCTACAGGCCATGGATTGTAGGGCCGAGGGTGTCAGATTGGCAGAGGCGGCGTCCAAGTCTGCACACAGTCGGAATGCCCGTCATTGCTCTGCCATGCACGTTTTGACCGAGCATTCCTTAACCCTAAACCGAAACCATAACCCTAAACCCCAGAACCCTAAACCCTAAAACCCTGAAAGCCCCAAACCCTAAAACCATAACGATCAGGAGAACAGCTTGCTGAAGCTGGTGACAGACAAGGCACAGGGGGGCATCATTAGCCTGTAAAAGGGCTCTCTTGAACCCCTAAACCTTAAACCCTAAACCCTAAACCCTAAACCCTAAACCCTAAACCCTAAACCCTAAACCCTAAACCCTAAACCCTAAACCCTAAACCCTAAACCCTAAAACCCTAAACCCTAAACCCTAAACCCTAAACCCTAAACCCTAAACCCTAAACCCTAAACCCTACACCCTAAACCCTACACCCTAAACCCTAAACCCTGAACCCGAAGCTTCGCAGTGGCGGGCTCGGAACCTGGACCCTGGTCTGCAGGAGAAGCAGATCAACGACGATGGCTGCGCCCTCTCCGGCTACAACAGCCAGCCGGGGGCTCATCTCACGTGTCCTTAAGCGGTGGAAGGTGTAGGGTTTGGGGCTTTTAGGGTTGGGCTTAGGGTTTAGGGTTTAGAGTTTTTGTGTTGAGGGTTTAGGGCTTGGGACTAGGGGTGGTTTATTCGGGGGGCTCTGCTAAATTGGAGTCCCTTCAGCGATGCCTCCATGATCGTGCTCCAACTTACAGCAGCCACATACACATAAAGTTGGGCTCAGGACTTCGGACTTAGTAGGGGTGTCGGTTCTCTGTCGCTTACTCCTCTAGCTCGAATTCTCCAGGCAGACGTGCAAGACCATGCATGCATCTTCATGACAACACATGCATACTTACATGTGTATGTGTACGTGCACTACTAACACGCAAATACTGCTTGTATGTATGCATGCACGCACGCATACATGCATGCATGTATGTACATGCATGCATGTATGTACGTATGCATGTATGCATGCATGCATGTATGTACGTATGCATGCATGTATGTACGTATGCATGTATGCATGTATGCACGTATGCATGTATGCACGTATGCACGTATGCACGTATGCATGTACACATGTATGCATGTATGCATGTATGCATGTATGCATGTATGCATGTATGCATGCATGCATGCATGCATGCATGCATGCATGCATGCATGCATGTATGTATGTATGTATGTATGTATGTATGTATGTATGTATGTATGTATTTCTGTATGTGCATGTATGGAAATTCGTACGTACGCATGACATGTGTGTATTTTACATGCGCAGATGTCGTCTTCCCATTTCCCTAACCAGAAAGCACACAGCCATCAGGTTCTCGCAGGGCCTGTCCAGTGAGGTCGCTGCCTCCACCAACTACCTCGGCCCCCTGGCTCCCAGTAGATCTCAGTAGAGTTTAGGGTTCAGGGTTTGGATATCGCGTTTGGGGGGGGGGGGTTTCTGATCATCTAATTCAGGCTTAGGGTTGAGGGCTTAGGTGTTGAGATGTTTTGAGAGTGCAAGGATTTGGTTCTGGACGTAGTTCTTGCAGCTTCAGGCCAGAGCCTCTGAGTATTTCACGGGCCTGTTTTCTTCCTCCATGTTCCGAGTTGCCGCTGCCATGCCCTTCTCTCACCAGCCTGCGCTGGATGCCCTGCGAAGAAACCAAGCCTGGCAAACCCTCAGCCTCTAACAAGTGGGGTTCGGCTCAACAACCCTAAACCCTAAACCCTAAACCCTAAACCCTAAACCCTAAACCCTAAACCCTAAACCCTAAACCCTAAACCCTAAACCCTAAACCCTAAACCCTAAACCCTAAACCCTAAACCCCCGCGCAGCTTTGCTTCGTAAGAGCTTGGGGCGTTGGGTTCCAGCTGAAGAACCTGGGACCGGAAGTTCAGGTAAGCTGCAGACGCAGACGCCGCCCGACCTGCAGAAAGTGGTCTTCAACTCCAACTCCTTCGCAGCTGGGCCGAAGCTTGAACTTTGTAGGGTGGTTAGGGATTAGGGTCATGCAGGTAGGGGAATCCAAAAACTTGAGAACTTTCTGGAGGTTCGGGGTCATTTGAAGTAGGATCGAGAGCAGCAAATCCCCTTCCGGCAGCCCTAACCCTAAACCCTAAACCCTGAATCCTAAGCCCTAAACCCTAAGCCCTAAACCCTAAACCCTAAACCCTAAACCCTAAACCCTAAACCCTAAACCCTAAACCCTAAACCCTAAACCAGCAACCCTAAACCCTCAAACCTAAACCCTGAGCCCTAAACCCTACAAAGCCAGGTCAACACCATCACGGTGACGGAGGCTTCCCTCCTCGGGGCTACAGTGATGCCGCGAAGTTTGGAGGTTTAGGGTTTAGGGTTTAGGGTTTAGGGTTTAGGGTTTAGGGTTTAGGGTTTAGGGCTTAGGGTTTAGGGTTTAGGGTTTAGGGTTTAGGGTTTAGGGTTTAGGGTTTGTATAATGCCCTCACCCTAAAAGTAATCCCCCCCCCTATGCTAAGTACTCCCGTAAAAGTTATATTCGAGTATAGGGGGGAGGGGGGGGGGTATTGAACATCAGGGGGCAGGAGGGTATTACTCTCGGGGGCTGAGGACCTCAGGGGGCTTTTGTGATGACTTTGAAGGCATGGGGGTTAGAGCTTCGTGGGCTCTCATGTCTCGGGCACGCGCTCGCGTGGCGCGCTGTTCTTCCTAGGTAGGATATGGGGGACCCTTAAAAGGGAAGCCCTTCTGAACCCTCTTCTGGCTCTCTGAAACAAGGACCTTTTTCAGAGGGTCTATATCCCCAAATATTCCCTTATCCTATCCCCTAGTTCTGCTGCCAGTCTGTAGTCCAAGCTTGCTTTTTGCAGGCCGGGACGCTGGCCGTCTGCTATTGCGCGGTGACGGTGGACAGCATGCCGGAGTCTCGGTCACCCTAACCCTAGTAAACCCTAAACCCTAAACCCTAAACCCGAAACCCGAAACCCTAAACCCTAAACCCTAAACCCTAAACCCTAAACCCTAAACCCTAAGCCCTAAACCCTAAACCCCAAACCCCAAACCCTAAACCCTAAACCCCAAACCCCAAACCCCACACCCTAAACTGCAAGATTCCTCTCATCCGGCGACCTCTCTGGATTCTTGGCCCCAAGCTCCAAATCCTAGAAACCCCGCTGGCGCAGTGCCTGCCACGGCCCATTCTAGGAAAATAGAGGGGGGGTTTAGGGTTTAGGGTTTAGGGTTTAGGGTTTAGGGTTTAGGGTTTAGGGTTTAGGGTTTAGGGTTTAGATTGCCCCCAAAACCCTTCAAACCCCGAGATCTGAATGAGAAGCGGACATCGGGACTGGTGCCCTATGAGTCCTTGGTCAGAGTCTAAAGCCCTAGTCTAGGACTGGGAGTAGGCCCTTTTTTTCATTTTTTCGGGTTGGGGTTCCCTTATGATCCCCTTAAAACCAAAAAGGTTTTTTTTTTTTTTCTCCTAGGTTACTGCCGAGTCTAGTAGTTGGGTTTGAAACGGTCCCCTGAAAGGCTTCCGGCAGGGCTTGTGGTGCAGGGCTTTAGCAGAGATGACCGAAGCCGAGGCTTCCGGGCTCAGTCCTGAACCCTAAGCCCTCAGCCCTAAACCTCCCAAACCCTAAACCCTAAACCCTAGACCCTAGACCCTAGACCCTAGACCCTAGACCCTAAACCCTAAACCCTAAACCCTAGACCCTAAACCCTTAACCCTAAACCCTAAACCCTAAACCCTGAACCCTAAACCCTAAACCCTAAACCCGCTGCTCAGTTGCCTGGACAGCTCGAACTGGAAGCTGGTGACGCACCTCACGGTCAAGGGGCCGCAGGCAACCTCCTTGGGCCCACACTGCGGAAGCGGCCTTCGGGGCTTCGGGTTTAGGGTTTAGGGTTTAGGGTTTAGGGTTTAGGGTTTAGGGTTTAGGGTTAGGGTTTAGGCGTGAGGGACTCAGATTAAGAACATCTTCCTTTTCACCATTTTGGTTTGGGCCGTTCGCCTTCAGAGCAAGCAAAATTCAACCCTTTGGTTGAAGGGCTGCCCCAACCTTTGGTCGCAAGGCCAATTCCCAGGGCAGGGCCAGCTTCTTGAGCGTTTGCTCTACATCCTTGAACCCTGAACCCTGAACCCTGAACCCTAAACCCTAAACCCTAAACCCTAAACCCTAAACCCTAAAACCCTAAACCCTAAGCCCTAAACCCCAGACCCCAAACCCTAAAACCCAAACCCTAAACCCCAAACCCTGCACAGAGCCGCCAGATCAACCAGCGCTGGACCTTCTCCACAAACGTGGTCTTCCGCTTCAGCTACGAGGGCTTCGGCCTCACGTCAGGCCTGGATCCGAGTCCTAGGGCTCCTAGGGTTTGAAGGGTTTGAAGGGTTTAGGGTTTAGGGTTTAGGGTTTAGGGTTAGGGTTTGGGGTTCCCTCTGTTTCAGGGTTTAGGGTTTAGGGTTTTGGTTGGGGAAGCGGGTTTGAGGTCTCAGGGTTTTAGGGCTTTAGGGTCAATAGGGTGTTAAGGTTTAGGCATTTAGGGGACCCTAACCCTAAACCCTAAACAATAAACCCTAAGCCCTCAACCCTAAACCCTCAACCGCTCGAGGGTTTCTGGGGCCAGACCCTAGACTCCCTGTTTGGGGTTTATGGTGAGGGGGTTTAGGGTTTAGGGTTAAGGGGTTTAGGTTTTGGGGTTTAGGGTTTGGGGTTTAGGGTTTAGGGTTCAGGGTTAGGGTTTAGGGTTTGGGGTTTGGGGGTTTAGGGTTTCGCCCCTCAACGCCTAAATGCTCTCTGGGGTCTGCTCAAGTGACATGCCTTGGCGAGGCGACACCATCCGCATTATCAGCTCCGATGGGCGGTGCTCGGATGACAACTTCAATCCAAACACTGCAGCCTTCGCCTACACGGCCCTCAAAGTGACCTGGTCTTCGAGAGCTTGTGGCTTCTGGTGTAGGCTTCGAACGAGGTCCCTTTCGAAAGCCTATCAGGCCCCAAACCCCAAAACCCTTTAAAGGCCCCAAGGCCCTTAAACCCTAAAGCCTGAACCCCCTAAACCTATGCAGTCCAAACCTTGAACCGATTCGTGTTGAGGTGAAGTGCCCTGTTCCCTGCACCGACGTGACCCTCACGGGCGGCACTGAACCGGGTGACCTCACCACCAAGGCCCCAGGGCAAGCACCCATGGGTTAAGGGTTTAGGGTTTAGGGTTTAGGGTTTCCCGAGCTCCAAACTTTAACGATTTGGGGGTCTTTTGCGTTTGCGATATGCCCAAACCGGTCCGGGGGCAGTTCATGACTTTCTTGATTATTCGGGCTTTGGAATTGCACCCTTTGGCCCCTAATCCTACAAGCCCTTGGCCCTTCACAGTCATGTCCTAAACCCTAAACCCTAAACCCTAAACCCTAAACCCTAAACCCTAAACCCTAAACCCTAAACCCTAAACCCTAAACCCTAAACCCTAAACCCTAAACCCTAAACCCTAAACCCTAAACCCTAAACCCTAAACCCTAAAAACCCTAAACCCTAAACCCTAAACCCTAAACCCTAAACCCTAAACCCTAAACCCTAAACCCTAAACCCTAAACCCTAAACCCTAAACACACATTTTCGTTCGCATGCTGTGGCTTCTGGGCATCCTCATATGCGACAGATTATTTCCATGGCTTTCTTTAACAGGGGCCTCATTCCACGGAGGGTTTGGGGTGCAATATAGCGGTCTGAGTAATTACAATAGGGCTTAGGGTTTAGGGTTTAGGATTTAAGCTTTAGGGTTTAGAGTTTAGAGTTTCGAAATTAGAGTTTAGGGCTTAGGAAGGTCTAGGGTTTAGTAGTTTGGGGCTTTCAATGGCTTTGAAGGTTTAGGGTTTAAGGGCGTAGGGTGTGAGCTGGCAAGGTCCTCTCTGCTGACTCGTACAATTGCGACGTGAGCAATACGAACTGCCGCCTCCTGAGCCACGCCAGAAGCCGCAAACCCCTAATAACAGCCAGAGCTGCACCCTGCTTTAGGGTTTATAACCACATAAGTGCACTTCAGGGGCTTATAAGTGGGTTATGAGTGCAGTCATGAACCTCCAAGAAGGGGTTAGGGTACATGGTTTTGGCAGTTGAAGCTGCATGCTAGAGCTCTCAGCTGTGGTATGGCGCTCGGCATTTCCCCGTGGTCAGGGCCGCCTCCCGAGGAAACAGCGAGCCTGCGCTATTTTCAGGAATCCCACATGGGGGTGATTTGAGCTCGCCCCCATTCTCGTAAATTCCTTCTAGTTCAGGCTAAGCGAAGGAGTTGAGCGACCGAGGTGAGACGAATGACATCACCACCATTACTGTTTGGGGCCTCGAGAAATTGGAGGGTTTGGGGTGCGCAGTGTTTAGGGTTTCGGCTTTAGGCTTTGGGGTTTCAGGTTGATCCTCCCCAAGTACCATTCAAAATGCCCCCCCAGGCCCAGAGTTCACCCCTCAGCAAGCTGCCCTTAGGCTCGCTTGTGGCATGTAGGATCTTGCCCAGGTCTAGGAGAAAGGGTCAGGGGAACATCAAAATGCTCTGCATCTAGGCAGCGTTTAACTATAAGAGGCCGTAGGCTCCTTTAAACCGTAAACCCAAAACCCCAAAGCCCTAAAACCATATGGGAGTTTACGAAAATAGGGTCCCTAATTTCGGAAACCCCCATATCTTCTTTCAGCCCCATCCCCTAAACCCCAAAAGCCCTACCACCCAAAGCCCCGAAAACCCGAACCCTGATTCGGAACCCTACTAAACCCTAAAGCTCTAAGGCCTGGCGCGCCCAATTCCCGGGCTTCCCAAAAGCACTGAAAGCCCCACACGCTCAGGGTTTAGGATTTGGGGTGCAGGGTTCAGGGTTTGGGGATTTGGGGTTTTGGGTTGCCTACCTCATTTTAGGGTGTTGGGGTTTTGTGCCCCAAATTCTCAAGCCCTGCTTGAGGATTCATGAGTAGCGGCAGGTAAGCTAGAAGTACTTCACTGTAACCTTGGCTTTCTTCTGGCTGGCTCTTCGGACTTTAACATCTTGCGTTTTCGTAGAAACTACAACAAGGAAACCAAAAGTTAAACCTTTAGGAGGGGTTCAGAAGTCAGCCAAGAAACCTGAACCAAGGTGTTGCGACCTGTAACTACCAATTGCTTAAGAACCACCCCAAAAAATAAGAAACATATATTCTTCCTTATAACGGTAAAATAGGGATTAGTATATGTTTTAATTTTTTCGGGGTTTCTTAAGCAAATAGTAGGTAAGTATCCATGAGCCTGAGGTAGACCCTGGGCCCTGGCCCTGAAAGCTCGAGTTTTGCGACCCAACAGCCTGCGACCTTGAAACCCTCTGACCCAAAGACGCTAAATCCTAAACCCAAAATCCTAAACCCAAAACCCAAAACCCAAAACCCAAAACCCGAAACCCTAAACCCTAAACCCTAAACCCTAAACCCTAAACCCTAAACCCTAAACCCTAAACCCTAAACCCTAAACCCTAAACCCTAAACCCTAAACCCTAAACCCTAAACCCTAAACCCTAAACCCTGTCCCTGAACCCTAAACCCTAAATCACGAAACCCTAGATCCCTAAAGCCCTGTCAGGTCCTGAGTGAGACCGAGACAGAGCTGGTCTTCCAGAAGCCGCATGGTATGATGCCGGCGGCCCGGTTTTTGGGGTTTAGGGTTAGGGTTTAGGGTTTAGGGTTTGGGGTTTAGGGTTTAGGGTTTAGGGTTTAGGGTTTAGGGTTTAGGGTTTAGGGTTTAGGGTTTAGGGTTTAGGGTTCAGCATCTCTGATCCAAGCATTCACTAAGGGTGTTTGGCATCACCCCACCCACCAGAATCCCTTTCATTTGGCAACCCTATCTACCATTTCAATTCTTATTGCTTAAGTCCCCTGAACCCTAAATCTTGAATCCTAAAAGCCCCAGATATCTTTCAAAAGCCCCAAAAGGCCTCAAAATCCACCCCAAAAAGAATGGAACTCAGGTTTTGCTTGCTCCCGCAATGAAAAGGGCTATTTTTCAGTACTGAAATCGACTGTTTCGGGGCCCTTCCATTTTACCCCAAAGCACACAGCCCTAAATAGCTTTCAGAAACCCAAAAAAGCTTGAAGAACCCCCCCAAAAATGCGGGGGGGGGGGGGGGCCCGGGATTTGCTGCTCCCGCAATGAAAAGTGCTGTTTTTTAGTACTGAAGCAGCCCCCCAAATAGCTTTCAAAGTCCCCCAAAAGCTTCCAAAACCCCGCAAAAGAAAAGTGGGCCCGGGATTTGCTGCTCCCGCAATGAAAAGTGTTGTTTTTTAGTACTGAAATCGACGGTTTCGGGGCCCTTCCATTGTACCCCAAAGAACCACCACAGCCCCAAATAGCTTTAAAAAAACCCAAAATACTTCAAAAAGCTCCCCAAAAGGGGGGAGCCTGGTATTTGCCTGCTCCCGCAATGAAAAATGCTGTTTTGTAATCGACGGTTTCGGGGCCCCTCCATTTTACCCCAAAGCACCACCACAACCCCGAATAGCTTAAAAAAGCCCCAAAAGGCTTTAAAAAGCCGGGTGTCCGACCCGAGACGCCCCCGGGACAACCTGTCCCGGGGGGGCAGGGGGATCGTCCCGGAGGGTCCCCGGGACAGCCCACACCGATATTGGATTAGGATTTTAGGATTTAGGATTTCGGATTTAGGATTTAGGATTTAGGATTTAGGATTTAGGATTAGGATTTAGGATTTAGGATTTAGGATTTAGGATTTAGGATTTAGGATTTAGGATTTAGGGTTTAGGATTTAGGATTTCGGATTTCGGATTTCGGATTTAGGATTTCGGATTTAGGATTTGGGATTTGGGATTTGGGATTTGGGATTTGGGATTTAGGATGTAGGATGTAGGATTTCGGATTTAGGATTTAAGGATTTGGGATTTGGGATTTGGGATTTAGGATTTAGGATTTAGGATTTAGGATCTAGGATTTAGGATTTAGGATTTAGGAGGATTTAGGATTTAGGATTTAGGTGCCGGGGCGTCCCGGGGGGCCCCGGGACAGCTGTCCCGGGGCGTCCCGGGAGTTGCTGGGACAGCTGTCCCGGGTGTTTTGAAAGGCCCTGGGACGCCCCGGGACGCCCCGGGAGGGCCCGGGACAACCTGTCCTGGAAGGGCCCGGGACAACCTGTCCCGGCGGCCCGGGACAGCCAGAGCCAGCGGGGGGGGTCAGGGGCCCAGAGTTAGGATTTAGGATTTAGGATTTAGGAACCATGCAAACGCAAAAAAGCCCGACGACCCCATTAAGGTATAAATAAATAAATAAATAAATCAAAAATATATATATATATATATAGGTAGAGAGGGTTTAGGGTTTAGGGTTTAGGGTTTAGGGTTTCGGGTTTCGGGTTTAGGGTTTAGGGTTTAGGGTACCGTTGTGAGCTTCTAGATTTCAGGGTCGAAGGGTGAATTTGGGTTTAAGGTTTAGGTTAAGGGTTGGGGCCTAGAGTGTAGGGCATCCGGGTTTATGCCAGTTTTGGGGCTCGGGACACTTAGGAGCACACACACACAAAGATCGAACTTGGTGTCGCCAAATAGGTTTAGGGTTTAGAGTTTAGGGTGCAGTGATCCCTCTAAATCCTAGGCCCTCGGCCCCCACAAAAGTCCGGAGCCCAAATGAAGACCAAACCCCATGTGGGGCAGGGGTTTGGGGAGGATCTCCGAACTTCTCTTGTTTCTACTGAACAGAAAATGCTCTAAATCCAGTTGGGCCAGAGAGTCAAAACCCTGTGGGGGGAGTAAGCCCAAAAAAGCACAAGAAGAGAGCGACGGAGTGTATATTCCATACGGGTATGGAACCTAGGTGTGGGTGCCTCGGATAAGCTTGCCCGCAGCCACTGCAGAGGTTTCGGTACTGAACTTAGTTCGCTCATGCAACGGAAGATGGTCATCATGACAAGTCCGCTGATTGCCGCGGTCACTCTTGCGTTGGGAGCTCTGGGCAGCGAAGCTGAATGCTCCGCTTGTGACATGGACGGGGACCAGCTTCTGTACATTTTTTGGAAAGCAGTTTTGTTTGATGTGCTTTACAGGTACTTCCCGAAATCGGGGTACCCCATTGATACCCCAAATGGAATAGAATCGCCTTAAAAAGGACCCCCCAAAAGGGTACCCCTACTTTCGGAACCCCCCCCCCCCTTAATTGTCACTTTTGATTCCTTCCCCTTATGACGCTGAAGGTTTATCCAGGTGCAGTCTAAACTGCGCACCAAGCAGCCGCAGAAGCTTCATTTTCTGTCCATGGGAAACTTGGTAGCCCAGCGGTGCCCTTTTGCCTTTTTTTTCTCTTCTCCGGGTTCCCATAGAATTACAGTAGCCAACCCCAAAAAAGGGCGCCCTCATTATAATAAACCCTAAACCCTAAACCCTAAACCCTAAACCCTAAACCCTAAACCCTAAACCCTAAACCCTAAACCCTAAACCCTAAACCCTAAACCCTAAACCCTAAACCCTAAACCCTAAACCCTAAAGCCTAAACCCTAAACTCTAAACCCTAAACCCTAAAACCTCATTATAATATTGTTTGCCAAGGAAAGTCTGGGTCTTGTTTCTGGGGTGACCTTTTCGGCACGAAGGGCCAGCGGCCGTACATCATGGAGCCCTTCAACGAAAACGGCCAATCTGGCCGCAGGAAGACACACCTTTCATTCTAGCAGGGTTTAGGGTTTAGGGTTTAGGGTTTAGGGTTTAGGGTTTAGGGATGCTGTACTTTGGGCCTGAGCTGACCAGAGTTTACCTGCAAGCTGTGCTGTAGGACGTTTGTAGGCTCAACTCCCCGCTATGCTCAATTGCAAGGTTGGGGCCTATGGAAAGATGCGCAGCTACTTGGGAATCTCCAGCAAGAGCTGGATGCAGAGACAGAGGCTCAGACTGTGAGGAGGTTGGGTTGCATCTACGAGTGCATGAGCTGCGAAAGCTGCTTGGCAGGTTTTAGGGTTTAGGGCTTAGGGTTTAGGGTGTAGGGTTTAGGGTTTAGGGTTTAGGGCACAGCTTTGCTTTGTGGTTTGGTCGGGCACTGATCGACTTTGTTTTTCTTCTAAGCTGCAGGTGAGGTCTCGTCCAAATTCCAAGACTTGATTCGGAACTTCTGCCACGGCCAGTACGATCGAGTTGTGATAAAGACAGTCAATATGAACAATGCCACCACCTTGCTGCGGCTGCCACCCGACACGTTGAAGGAACTTAAGGTCGTTCTCTTGCTACGCGACCCGCGTTCCATGGAACACGATGCAGAACGCGTATCCTGCCGGCGGCAGCTAGAGCTGGCTCTGACCTTCAAAGAGTTAGCTGCGGGCATGGGCAAGGAGAATGTGCGAACACTATTCTATGAGCAGTGGACGCGGGACGTCCCTGCAGCCATGTTTTCCTTGGCTAGCTGGGCTGGTGTCTCCGTCACTGACGAGATGAAACAGGCAGGTGTCACCAAAGCCGGAGACCCGCCTTCAGACTGGCTCCAACCAGAGCATGCGCAGAGTGCCCGGGAACAAGAGGCAGGACACTGGTGCGACCACTTTTTAAAGTTGGTGGGGTATCCGTTGAGATCTGAGATTGATGTCCCAGAGAATGCAACGGTGGAGCAGCGAAAAGCAGCTCTACCCTACGACCAACTCCGTGATCCAGCAGCCACACCTATCACAGATGAAGAGCGCCAGATCCTACAGGAGATGCGCGAGCAAGGCGAGGCAGCTGCCTGGGTTCAAGACTCAGACTAGATTTCCAATCATGCTGTTCAGCCAACAAACTCGTCCGAACACAGCTTACGCGACTCACGTGTTTTCCGGCACTTCGTTTTACCCAATGCGCCGGACCTTCTGCTTGCCAAATGGCAAAGAGGAAGGCGGGACATCGCAGAAGTCGGATGCGCGGGGTACTGGCCGAGGGAGCTCATCAGGGTTCAGGGTTCAAATTGCAAGTTTCACGGCTTTAAGCATACGCCTGGGTAAGCTTGGGGTTCGGGGTTCAGGATAAGTTTAGGAATCGCTATGGGCCTGCCAAGGGAATGTAAAAGCGTGTGCTTGGAGAAGTTGAAAGAGGCGTGGCGTGGACGCCCTCAGCCCCGGAAAAACCAACGCCCCAAAGTCGCAAAGCCCCAAACGTCCGCAAAGCCCCTCAAAGGTCAGAATCCCCAAAGGGGATACCCCAACCTGGACCGGAGTAGGCCCTTATTTCCTTTTTTTAAGGCTTGGGGTGCTCTGGTAATCCCCTTAACACCGAAAAGGGCACCCTTTGTTATTCGTAGGGTTTAGGGTTTAGGGTTTAGGGTTTAGGGTTTAGGGTTTAGGGTTTAGGGTTTAGGGTTTAGGGTTTAGGGTTTAGGGTTTAGGGTTTAGGTCACTCCTGGGTCTATCTAAGCCCTAAGCCTTGCCTGGCCAAGGACTGGAGACGAGATCACCATGGGTGCCAACATCTTCTGTGCCCCAGGCCAGCTCTGACAAGGGGCTTTGGGACTTCAGAGGTTTGGGGTTTAGGGTTTAGGGCTTGGGGTTTAGGGTTTAGGGTTCAGGGTTTAGGGTTTAGGGTTTAGGGCTATGCTGGAGGGGCTGTTGGTCCCATTTGGGGTGCCCTCTGAGCATACGGCTGCGCGTTGTGGGAGCCGTCCCCACAATAAAACTGGCCACCAGGGGTTGAGAAACTCCTGCTTTCTGTTTCAGTTCAGGTGTTGGCTAGGATCCCCAGGTAGTGCCCTTATTCCCTTTTTGGTAGGGTTTAGGTTCCCTTATTAAACCCCCTTTAAGCAAAAAAGGGGCACCCCTTTTTCATCCTAGGTTACTGGGGCAACCTAGTAGGTGTTCGGGTGTGCCCAGCCTTTGGGGAATTGCAAGGTTTAGGGTTTAGGGTTTAGGGTTTAGGGTTTAGGGTTTAGGGTTTAGGGTTTAGGGTTTCAGGGTTTCAGGGTTTAGGGGTTTAGGTGTTAGGGTTTGGGGGTTAGGGGTTAGGGGTTTTTGGGCTTGGAGGTTTCTAGGGGGGCTTCGAGGGAAGCTCTCAACTGCAGTCTCAGACATTTCCCGCCCGTGCAGGGGATCCCGTGTGCACAGACGAGATGCTGGCATCTCAGTGCGACACAGGATCCGTACAGTCCCGAGTCAGGGTTCAGGGTTTAGGGTGTAGGGGTCGGAATAATTACCAATCGTATTCCTCTATGGGCTCCTTTTATGCTTATGCTATAATACCCCCCCCCCCCCCCCACGCCCAAAACCCTATTCGAATCATTAAGGCCGCTAGATGTTAGATAGTTGTCTTCGTCTATTCGCCAGCCGTCTGCTTCAGATTGCATGTCGGCTTGGCAACCCTCAAACGACTTACTGCTGGTTAGGGGGAATGAGGGAATGAGGTGCCCACTATATCCCCCCTACATATACCCTTTGAGGGATTGTATAGGGTACCTCATTCCCTCATTCCCTCACTAGAGGGCACTCCGTTCTCTGTCTTCGAAACGATGTCCCAGGCTAGTTCCAGGTAACATAGGGGGTCAGAATACCAATAATCTTCCTGTATGGCCTATTCATCTAAGGCCTATATTGTCTTTCTTGAGTAAGTTGCGGCTAAGGAGACACTCAGCTATATGGGGGTTAACGAGAATCGGGGACCCCCGAATCTAGACCCCAAATAGTAGGATTCCCTTCTAGTGAGCCGTCATATGTGGCAACGTATCCAGGGGTTCTCCTGGCCGCGGGGTCTCCTTGATTCCCTACTTGCAGGTTCATGGGCACTTGTAAGTTGGGTTCTCACTACCCTAAATCAGTTTATCACCATATTTTCCCATAGAACCCTACTTCTCATTATAAGTACCCAGGAACCTCCAAGTAAACCCTCCGCCTGAGGCTCACGGCCCTAAAGGGGTCATTTGCCTTCGCCGACGCCTCGGGAAACAGCGGCACCGCCCCGGACACCTACATCGCCGCGCCCGGTACTCGGACGGGAGTCCCCTAACCTAACGTGCTGGAGAGGAGAAGGCTCTTTGGGGTCTATCTTAGGGGTCACCTAGTTTCGTAAACCCCTACATAGGGGGATACAAGGTGCTTCATCCGACTTCCAAGTTGCAGGACTTGTCTACGCTAAGCCCTGAGCCCTAAGCCCAGACCGAAAATGACAGGAAGTTGTCGTGGATTTGTGGAGTTCAAAATTCCTAAACATCCCAAACCCTGAACCCCAAGCCCTATGCCCTAGGCCGGAAACCCTGAACCTTCAACCCTAAACCCTAAAGCCTCACCCTACACCCTAAACCCTAAACCCTAAACCCTATTCTTGGCCCATCTGAGGCAGAAGTTCATTGCCACAGAAAATCCACTGATCGGCCGGGTTCGCATCGGTTGGCCCGCCACTGCCGGGCACCCAGCTTGACCACTGAGGACCCGGAGCTTCGGGTTCGGGTTTAGGGTTTAGGATTTAGGGTTTAGGGTTTAGGGTTTAGGGTGTAGGGTTTAATTAGGGTTTAGGGTTTAGGGTTTAGGGTAGGCCCTTGCTCCCTCGTTTTTAGGGTTTAATTCGTTTTATTCCTGTGCTTCATCTTGGGTCTACCTCAATCCCAAGCCATAATTCATCCAAAACTCTATTGTTGCACCTCCCCCCATCCTAACCCCCCACCCTACCCTCCGGGGGCTTCCCTAAACCCTAAACCCTAAACCCTAAACCCTAAACCCTAAACCCTAAACCCTAAACCCTAAACCCTAAACCCTAAACCCTAAACCCTAAACCCTAAACCCTAAACCCTAAACCCTAAACCCTGGCATCCTGAGCATTTGAGTAACCCGCGGCACTTTATAGTTTTAGTTTCTCCTGGCCCACTAAACTTCAGCCTTCCTGATGAGGGTTTAGGGTTTAGGGTTTAGGGTTTAGGGTTTAGGGTTTAGGGTTTAGGGTTTAGGGTTTAGGGTTTAGGGTTTAGGGTTTAGGGTTTAGGGTTTAGGGTTTAGCGTCTAGGGCAAAGCTTCCGCCAGCATCTCGAGGCTCAAACCCCCTGAGCACCCAGGGTTTGGGGCCTCATCGGGTTTCGCAGTGTAGCACACAGCTCAGCCCGGTAAGCCTTGCATCAAGTACTCGAACCCCAAACCCCGAACCCCCCCAAACCCAAACCCCAAACCCCAAACCCAAACCAAACCCTAAACCTTAAGTCCCCAAACCCTGAATTCAAGATCCCCCCCCCCCCCCCCACCCGCAATTCTGCTCGGAGGGCCGGCCGCAGTTCACCGTCATCTATGCCGGGGCCAGGCCCGAGATCGGCTACATCGGCAGGCCTGCCCCGAATATGAGACCCCAAAGCCTAAACCCTAAACCCCAAACCCCAAACCCTAAACCCTAAACCCTAAACCCTAAACCCTAAACCCCAAACCCCAAACCCTAAACCCCGAACCCTAAACCCTGATCGGGGTGTGTGCGCTTGTGCAACTTGGGCTCAGAGTCTGCTTTGGGTGTTTAGGGTTTAGGGTTTAGGGTTTAGGGTTTAAGGGTCGAGGGTACATGCGACTTAGGGCTTACACATGATACGGTCCCTGTATGTTTTGTTTAGACCTACACTGCTATACACAGCCTTCCCTTGTTCAGGATGTTTGTTTTTCTTCTCCTTCTTCTTTTACTCCTTCTAATTAGTTAAAGTGGACGACTCTCCCTAAACCCTCAACCCTAAACCCTCAACCCGAAACCCCAAACCCTGAACCCTAAACCCTAAACCCTAATGGCATAGGACGTGAGGTTTAGGGCTTTAGGGTTTAGCGTTTATCACATGGAGCTCAAACCGTTGCAGCAGCTCTCCCTTCGATTTCGAACTCGAATTGATGCTTGGGTCTCAGGGTTTAGGGTTTAGGGTTTGGGGTTTAGGGTTACCCTAAACCCTAACCCTAAACCCTAAACCCTAAACCCTAAACCCGAAACCCTAAACCCTAAACCCTAAACCCTAAACCCTAAACCCTAAACCCTGAACCCTAAACCCTAAACCCCAGACCCTGTTTGGGGTTCCCAGTAGGATCCTTTGAAACTGTGCACCAACGGCTGATAGGGGCGGCCTCTGGACGCACCATAGCCGGGCTCAGACGCGCGAGGCGGGTTCCGAGGGTTCATGGATATTCAGTCCTTGCATTAAGAGTTCTGGGGGTTTGGGGCTTAGGGTTTAGGGCAAGTTTAGGGTTTAGGGTTTAGGGTTTAGGGCTTAGGGTTGGGGGTTTGGCGTTTGGGGTTTGGGGTTTAGGGTCTAGGGTAACCCGTATATTGCCCCCCTGTGAGGTAGGGATTCCCATGGAGAGCTCCTCCTTTTGTCCTCGTCTCGTAGAAGGTAGGAGACGTAGAAGTAGAGATTCAAAGGCAAGTTGACCTATATCACAGCCTGAAAAGACGTACTACGAGCCCTATACTTATCCCCCCCCCCCCTTGGACCTTGACGTGGTTCAGGGGTCTTTAAGGCCTTGTGCGCGTAAAGTTAAGCACAACCCAAGCTGAAGGTGCGAGGCTCAGCCCCGGGCTTGTGGTTTAGGGTTTAGGGTTTAGGGTTTATAATAGGCTCTAGGGTTTAGGGTTTAGGGCCAAAAACCCTAAGCCTTCCCCTAGCCCCCCTCCAACCCTCCCGCAACCCTTCCAAAGGCCTAGAGCCCACAGAAGCTTCCTTCCTTTTAGTGTTTGGGGTTAGGGCTTTTGGGAAGCCTTCAGGGTTTGTCCTTAACCGTTAACCCTAAACCCTACATCCGAAACCCTAAACCGCATTGGGGGTTTCAAGTTCAGCCTGTTTTGAGAAGTTCGGCCTAAGTGCGTTGGGGTTTAGGCTGGGTTTAAGGGTTTGACGGCTTCGGGCTTCAAGGTTTGAAGGGTTTAGAAAGCTTACTGGTTTTGGCCTCTATAGGCCCAGGCTTCAGGTTCAGTCGATCAGGCCGCTGGGGTGCTCATGACGGTCTGGGGAGAGGGTTGCAGCATGCCGATTGCTTGCACTGCACCTTCTCCGTTTCTAGACTCCTATCTCTTTCCGGTCCTTATCATATTCGGGTTGGGCTTTAAACCCTAAACCCTAAACCAGCCCTAAGCCCTAAACCCTAAACCCTAAACCCTAAACCCTAAGCCCTAAGCCCTAAACCCTAAACCCTAAACCCTAAACCCTAAACCCTAAACCCTGAACCCTGAACCCTGAACCCTGAACCCTGAACCCTGAACCCTAAACCCTAAACCCTACCCCTGCAGTGCAAGGAAGTCATGGCCACTGCAGAGAGAGCCAACCTCCGCGTGTGCTGGCGCTTTGGCACCGCACCCGGCAGTCCGGTCACCAGAAAGACAGAAGTACCCCTTGATGTTTAGGGTTCAGGGTTTGGGGTTTTTAGGGTTTAGGGTTTAGGGTTTAGGGTTTAGGGTTTGGGGTTTAGGGTTTAGGGTGAACGCTGAAGGTTTTTCACCCTTAACCCGAAACCCTTTGAGTTTGCTTCAAGAACGGAAGGATCCTTGAGCTTCTTTGCGCAGCGCCATTGCCGCCCTTGCAAGCAAGATCATTCAGTTTAGGGTTTAGGGTTTAGGGTTTAGGGTTTAGGGTTTAGGGTTTAGGGTTTAGGGTTTAGGGTTTAGGGTTTAGGGTTTAGGGGTTCAGGGTCCAGGATACCCCGGTCAAGGGACGAGACTGGCATGGCGTGGAGCCAGATGTTGGGGTTTCCGGAAATAGGGGTGCCTTATGGAGGTCCGGATTATAAGGGAATCCTACTATTTGGGTGTCTATTCAAGCTCATGCAGTTCCGCAGTTCCCGGAAAAAAGCTGCTGTCGGAACCCAGCTCCCAGGCGGCAACGGCGCGAAGTATGTGGAGGAGGTGCCGTGGAAAGCGGAATTCAACATCGCCCCTGCCTCCTCAGGGTTTAGGGTTTAGGGTTCAGGGTTTGGGGTTGAGGGTTTTAGGGTCTTAGGGTTGAGGGTTTAGGGTTTAGGGTTACAACTTTGGGGCCAGTGGCGTGCAGTGCGTGGCCGGCCAACCAAGCCCGAAACGCCCTGTAGACCCCGTCCCGGGCCTAGAATCAACAGCCCGAAGCCGTGTAAACAGGTCAGGGTTTAGGGTTTAGGGTTTGGGGTTTAGGGTTTAGGGTTTAGGGTTTAGGGTTTAGGGTTTAGGGTTTAGGGTTTAGGGTTTGGGGTTTAGGGTTTAGGGTTTGGGGTTTAGGGTTTCGGGTTTGGGGTTTAGGGTTTCGGGTTTGGGGTTTAGGGCTTAAGCGGCTTAAGGCGTAGGGTTGGAGTTAGAGGGCCAGGGCCCCTGGAGGTCTCAGGGCGCAAAAGGCTCCTAGACGCCATGAATCCCAACGTTCTACCGGCTACTTCCCCCTCCCCCAAAGATAGAAGATACGTAATCCCCATATTGCCCTTATGAGGAAAAGTATTTGTGCTTTTTTTGAGGGGTTTCTTAAGCAAGAAGTGAACCCGGCCCTGTTCGCAGATTGGAAAGATGACCATCCGGAACCCTGCTTGGAGCTCGGCGGGGCTTATGGCTGAGGGTATTTACGTCAGTTAGGGGATTAGGGTCGTTGCACCCGAGACCCTAAACCGTAAACCCTAAACCCTAAACCCTAGTTTGTAGATACGCAGAACCGGAAGTGCTGGACCCCCCAAAGCACTGTAACCCTAAGCCCCTGACCGACGCCAAACCTTGCCTACAGCCCCAGACGCCCGAAGCCCTAAAGACGCCACAGCCCTGAACTGAACCCGAAAACCATACCTAGACCCTGAGCCCTAAACCCTGAACCCTAAACCCTAAACCCTAAACCTAAACCCTAAACCCTAAACCCTAAACCCTAAACCCTAAACCCTAAACCCTAAACCCTAAACCCTAAACCCTAAACCCTAAACCCTAAACCCTAACCCCTAAACCCTAAACCCTAGAGCGCCCTGAAAGACCAGAGCCTCGGGCCCTGAATCCAAAGCCGTATTGGCCCCAAATACTCTGGAGGCCACGATGCTGGGAGCCACGCGGGGCCCTTACCGACCGCGGGTCGTGTGCGCAGTCTGGTTCTGTTTCGGGTTTAGGGTTTAGGGGTTAGGGTTTAGGGTTTAGGGTTTAGGGTTTAGGGTTTAGGGTTTAGGTTTTAGGGTTTAGGGTTTAGGGTTTTTAGGGTTTGAGGCTTGGAAGATCATGAGGGCTTATGACTTGAGATAGCTGGAGATGAGCATATGGGCTCGCAAAAGAAGTGCATTGAAGTGAGTGAATCAAAAGCCCCCTCAAAAGAACTGCATGCCAACTGGGGCTTTTGGCTTATTCACTCACCGGTTGGATTTCTAGCTCTCTCCCCCTCTCCCCCTCCCCTCGACCCCTCCCTCCCCCTCCACCCCCCTGCTCCCCCCCCTCCTCCTCACCCCCTCCTCACCCCAACCATTACGTTCCCCACAGGTTGGGAAAATCTGGGAATCTGGGCATGCCCTCGCAGGATCAGCATGAGCAGCCCGGCTCGGCAGACGTCGGGCGCTTAGAGGGCACCTGCGGAAGGGGGGGGACGTTGGGGCATGCTTTCGGTTGAAAATTGAATCTGTGCTACACCCCAAACCCTAAACCTTAAACCTCAAAAGCCAAACTCCAAACCTTGAACTCTAAACCCTAAACCCTAAACCCCAAACCCTAAAACCCTAAACCCTACTTGGGATTTGCTTTCATGCCCAGGGCGGTGCCCATGATCCTCACCTTCACCACTGCCGGGGGCGTGACCGGCATGCGTGGAGACCCCAGACACTTCCTGGGCTGCTACACCCTAAACCCTAAACCCTAAACCCTAAACCCCAAACCCCAAACCCTAAACCCTAAAACCCCAAACCCTGAGCCCTAAGCCCTAAACCCTAGACCCTAAACCCTCAACCCTAGTGACCCAGGTGGCCGGACAGCACCCTAAACCCTCAACCCTCAACCCCAAATCCTACACCCTGCTTGGACGCCCTTTTGACTTAGGAAGTAGGGTGGGTTTTGACTTAGGAAGTAGGGTTAGTAAGGTGGGGTATGGGGATTTTGAATCGCGTTGCTAGGGGATGCCAAGTAGACTTACAAAGTCAAAAGGGCTTCCAAGTAAACTCTCATACATGGTCGCCGGGCTGGTTTCGCCAGATCCCGAGTAGTCCTTGGCCCAGGTTACGAGGAAGCACAGGACATCCCACCAGATGGCTCTTGCTGCACACCGGGCTCGAGAGGGTTTGCGGGTTTTCGGGGGTGTAGCGGCTTTAGGCTTTCGGGGGGGTTTTGGGTTTAAAGTGTAGAGTGTAGGGCTTCATTGGAGCGTCCTCGGCCGCTAGATTTTCGGAGATCTCCATCTACCCGAAGCCCCACACCCTAAACCCCCAAATCTAAATCCTAATGTTCGGGAACACCCCCCCCCCCCCCCGGATGCCAAACGCAGAAGGACAGCCTTCGCCTCAAGATCGTCTTTCTGAGAACGGACCTGGCGCCCGGGCTCGATATCGGGTTTGGGGCGTTAGGTAGTTTAGGGGGGCACACGGGCGTAGGGGCAAAGCACTGGTAAAGCAGGGGTGTAGGGCTTTAGAGTTTGGGTTTTAAGGTTAGGGTTTACAATGAGTTGTTGCCTCGGGAGTCCTGTTGCGACATTTCTGGGGGCAAAGCTGTACCTCCCAGTCCAGCCCGGAGACATGTTCTGCTTCATACGCGCTTAAATGCAAGTCCCTCAAACACGTGAAGCACTACATCGGACGTGGGCTGAAGGGGGATCTCTGGGATGGCTTCGTTGTCTCTGGGTTAGTCAGTGAAAGTTGGGATGTTCCACCTTATACTGACAGTCCTTAGTAGGGATTGTAGTTCCCCCTCCTATAATCCCCATTAAGGACTGTTAGTATAAAGGGGAACATCCCAAAAATAAAGTCGCGTGCTTGCGAGGCCCTGGGGACATTGAATATTTCCCCTTTGTTGGGCTTAAGAGGACTAAATTTAGGAAAATTTTTGAGAGGGCTCTAAGGGCCATCCTAGACCAGATGGCAACTGGTCCTCCGCCCCCTATCAATGCCGGATCCGTGCACCGAAAACTCTAACCTGCCTGAATCCCGAAACCCTGAACCCGAAACCCTGAACCCCTATGCCCTAAACCCCAAACCCTAACCCCTAAACCCTAAACCCTACACCCGGACCTTGGGACATTCAAGAAGCCTTTCCGCCAGTTGGATATCCGCTACGCCGACCTTGCGGGCAGCGAGATTCCTTTCACGGCGCAGAACTTGGCTTTTTCGGAAGTCCTGACGTCATTAGGGTTTAGGGTTTAGGGTTTAGGGTAAACTAAAGGGTGTAATATAGGCGCCTTAAGCATCAGAATAGGGTTTTGGGGGTTATCCTAGTAAACCTAGGATCGTAAGGGAATATGGACGTGAACGAATTTAGTACAAAGCCGATGCACCGTGCTTATCGTTCGATTTTTTCTGCCTATAGATGCAGAACACTGGTGGCAGAAAGCCCCCAAACGCAAACCCTAAACCCTAAACCTAAACCCTAAACCCTAAACCCTAGACCCTAAACCCTAAACCCTAAACCCTAAACCCTAGACCCTAAACCCTAGACCCTAGACCCCTAGACCCTAGACCCTAGACCCCTAGACCCTAGACCCTAGACCCCAAACCCAAAACCCTAAACCCGAAACCCGAAACCTAAACCCTGCTCAGCCCCACCCACCCCAGGTTGCAACCGAAGACGACTTCCATGAGGCCGGAGTCGAAGTTGAAGGTTGACCCATTCTAGAGTTGTTTAGGGTTTAGGGTTTAGGGTTTAGGATTTAGGGCTTAGGGTATAGGGTTTAGGCACAAGGGTTAAGGGTTTGAGGTCGAGTAAGAGAGCTCTGTAGCCAATCTGGGACACCGTCTACCTGGTGTATGCTGCTTCTTCAGCGGTATTCCGAGTAGTTCCCTCAACCCTGAACCCTAAACCCTAAACCCTCAACCCTAAACCCTAAACCCTCAACCCGAAACCCTCCCCTCAATTTGCGGGGCAGGCTTCCCAGTCAATCTGTGGCAAGCTCTTCCTCGAACTGTGGCTGGGCGCTTAGGACACCAGGCCCCTGGCTTTTTTGTTCCCTTTTTTGGGGCGTTTGGGGGGTTGGGGAGCCCTAGACCCTAAACCCTAAACCCTAAACCCTAAACCCTAAACCCTAAACCCTAAACCCCAAATAAGGGCCTCAGGGGGCCCAAGAGGAGCCCTAGCGCAGGGATTTAGGGCCTTGAAAGCCTGCAACCCGAAGCCCCAAACCAGCGAGCGGCCGATGTCTCGTTGACCCCCCTCGCCTGCGTCGGCTCAAGCTGGGGCACCGCCCTTATAGATTTCGAGCTGCGGTTTCGGGTTTACAGGGTTCAGGGTTTAGGGCCTCGCTCCATGTGGAGGCATTGTCTATGGGGCTGACGGTTTAGGGCAGGGTTTCAGGACCCTATATCCAGGTTTGCGCCAGGTACGGCATGCGAGCTAGCCTGCGTTGAAAGCCATTATCGGCTTTAAAGGTTCAAGGGTTCCAGCTGCACGCAAATCATGTCAGAGAGCAGCGGCAGCAAAGCCGCCGAGCCCGAGCCCGTGGAGGACTGGCTTCTGCTTCCGCGTTCTTCGTAGGGAATTGCGGATTTAGGTATATACAATGCCTTTAAGGAAATGAGGTGTGTACTCGCTTCAAGGGAACTCGGTATGAATCCCTCAAAGGGTATGCGGTACATAACCCCTTACAGGGTTACATCAGGGCATGCAAGTAGCGAATTCCTTAATTCCCGCTAAGAACGACGCTTCTGGAGGGTGCTTTGGGGCTTCTCGGAGGAAAGTTGGGAGAAACATGCTACCCCAAACCCGTTTAATTCTGAAGCTCTCAGCCCGAAGTCGTCCTAACCTTAATCCAGCCTCTACTGCCTACTCGTAGAACCCTCAGCCGCATATCCTGAACCCGAAGCGCCCTAAGCCCTCAGCCCCGAAATCCTAAACTTAAAGCCCAGTACCATCCGAAATCACCACAAGCTGAAACTCAACGCCCTGCTCCCGGTGACTTGTGCCGCAAGCCCTAAACCCTAAACCCTAAACCCTAAACCCTAAACCCTAAACCCTAAACCCTAAACCCTAAACCCTAAACCCTAAACCCTAAACCCTAAACCCTAAACCCTAAACCCTAAACCCTAAGCCATGGAAAGGTGCCTTCGGAGGAGCAGGTCGCTGCGCAGAGCAGCGAGGCTGTACTATAGGGGTCGGAAGAATTACTATTGGTACTACCTTCTGGTCCCTATATACGGGGTTTCCGAAGATGGGGTACCCTCTCTGGGGTTCCTTTAGAAGGATTCTATAGCATATTCGTGTGCCCCTATTTCCGGAAATTCCCATATCATGATACCAGAATTACCCGCCAAAACTTCTGATTCTGAAGGCCCCTGATATTAGAGGGAAAGGGGGGGTGGCATGTGCTCGGTTTGGGTGTTGCAGGGCTTTCGGGCTCACAGGCGTGGGAGCTTTCTGCAGTTTCGGCCTTGGAGGATTCGGATTGTGAATGTAGCGTATGTCTGATGCTGTGCTGTTTATGCGGACATGCGAGCTTCTTCATGCTTCTCGGGACTGGGGATCAGCCCGAAAGACAGCGAAACCAGAAGACTTAGGGCTGTTAATTGCTAAAGATGTTCGAATGCGGTCTACACTCCATTCAACACTACCACACTGAAAATCTTGGAGGTTCATGCGCGCTTATAAGTAGGGTTATGAGTACCCTAAAAAAGGTTGTAACCATAGTCACCCTACTTATAGCCCTACTTATAAGTGCCCATGAACCTCCAAGTAGCTGGGAGGTGCCTCCGGAGGACCCGGGCGCCGCGCCGAATGGCGAGGCTGACAGGTTCTTTGATTCTTTGCTGTAACTTTAGATCCTTAGCCTTTTTGGGTTTATTGGGTTTCTTAAGAAGGCAGCCAAGAATGTAATTTATGGCTACCCTGCTAAGTGCAGCCAAGATATTGGTGGGCATCCTGGCTCAGACTCTTGCCTGGGGTATGCTCTTGATGGGATCTTGTAGTCTGCCGCAAGAAACCCTGAACTCTTGGGGGGGGGTAGGGGGTTACCCTGACTGCCACAGCTGACGTGCTCCCTCCTTGGAAGGTGCCTCCGGAGGGGCACAGCACTGCACAGAGCAGCGAGGCTGTACGGAGGGGTTCAGGGGACTCTCAGGGGTGCTTAGATTTCTTTGGGAACGATGAGGGGATGCTTCCGGGCTGCTCCTTCGGGCTTCATGCGCGCTTCCTCAAATTCGGGCAGACTCGATAGTACACTCTGCAGCCGCTTGCCAAGTCCTGCTCCCCCCCAAAATTTCTCCCGCCCCGGGAGGTGCCTCCGGAGAGTAACAGCGCCGCGCAGAGCAGCGAGGCTGTACAGCTGTGTGCAAGAGCCCCTAAACCCTAAACCCTAAACCCTAAACCCTAAACCCTAAACCCTAAACCCTAAACCCTAAACCCTAAACCGTGCATGTTGTAGTGTTCCGGACCTCGAGGTGCATTCTTACCTTGAAAAGTCAGGAGCTCGAGAAGAAGCGAACCGTCCACCATAGCCAAGGCTTGTGCACGAGCGTAGCCTTAGCGTAGAACGTAGTGTTCGTAAGCTCTTCAGCCCACATAGCCTGAAGAACCCTAGTCCTCAATCCGTAAGCCCCAAGCTCTGTACCCACAAAGCACTCAGTCCCTCAGCCCCAAATCCCCGAAAGCCTTTCTCCCAGCAAACGCTTCGTGGTGTGCCTTTAAACCCTAAGCCCTGAACCCGAAACCCGAAACTCCTCGGTTTAGGGTTTAGGGTCTAGGGTTTAGGGTTTAGGGTTTAGGGTTTAGGGCCCTTAAGCCCGAAAACCCCCCCCCCCCCCCCCCAAACTCAAAACGGCCGCAGCCCCCGCGCACCGCGCTGGACGTTGCCAAGTCGGAGGGCATCCTCCGGCCTCTTGAGGCAGTACCAGGACCCCCGCGAGCGGTTTAGGGTATAGGGTTTAGGGTTTAGGGTTTAGGGTTTAAAGTTTAGGGTTAGGAGGGTTTTGGGTTTAGGGTTTAGGGTTCGAGGGTTTAGGGGTTATGGTTTAGGGGTTTATGGGTTTAGGGTTAGGAGGGTTTTGGGTTTTGGGTTTCTGGGGGTCAAGATGGTTGGGGCTGGGATTTAGTGCTTCGGGAGGTGTTCTGAAGTTGGCCGGTCGGTCTTCGTAGCTTTTCATCAGCCTGTGGGGAAACTGTACACGGGTGCAGGCCCTTGACCTGTGTAGACTTTGGAGAGTGCGGTGCGGTGCCCTGGAGGCTTGCAAAGGCAGAGGACGAGCATTCGGGAATTCAAATCCGGGCCCCATAAGCCCCAATAAACTTGCTGGTTTCCGTTCTTCGTAGACATAATCAACACGGCTCACCCATGTAGTACAACTGACTTTGGCATCCCACGGGATGCGTGGCAGCGTTCATGTGCGTTTGTTTGCCTATTCATGTCCCTGTCACCCAGGCCCGTACGGCATTTCACAGCTCTTCCCTAAACCCTAAAACCTTGTTGAGGAGGATGAGAGCTGGGATTCCCTCTAGTATGCCTTCTGGGGGTAGGGAGAAGTATGTTCCAACTTTTTGGAGTTTACTGTACACCCCAAATCCTAAACCCTAAACCCCAAACCCCAAACCCCACAGGCTTCGTGGCCCACGCTGTGGGCTCTTTGGTGGGTGGGGCGCCCCTCGTCTTGGGAACCTTGAGTAGGGGGGGAGGGGGAGAGGGAGAGGGAAGGCCCTGCAGGGTTGAGGGCCCTAAACCCTAAACCCTAAACCCTAAACCCTAAACCCTAAACCCTAAACCCTAAACCCTAAACCCTAAACCCTAAACCCTAAACCCTAAACCCTAAACCCTGAACCCTGAACCCTGAACCCTAAACCCCTAACAGCTTAGGGCTGACTTAGGGGCTTAGGGATGGATTCGTGGGCCTCAGGTGGGGGGTTTAGGGTTTAGGGTTTAGGCTTTAGTGTTTAGGGTGGGTTTCGGGCCATTCCCAGACCCTTAAGATCGTTGGGATCCCCGAAAGCTTGCAGCGTGGAAGCCGGTTTGGGGTTTAGGGTTCAGGGTCTAGGGTTTCGTCATATTTGTCTAGAATCCCTGCTTCCCAACCCCTACAAGCAAGAAAGGACCCGAACATGAACAGCTTCCCCCCAGCCCCCCCCCCCCCCATATGGATTGCTTGAGGCCCCTACTAAAGCCTAAGCCCTAAGCCCTAAGCCCTAAACCCTAAACCCTAAACCCTAAACCCTAAACCCTAAACCCTAAACCCTAAACCCTAAGCCCTAAATCCTAAGCCCTAAGCCTAAAGCCTAAGCCCTAAAGCCTAAACTAGGGGCCCCTCAAACCCAGTGTTTTACACGGCCCTCGAGTTCGCTGGGCGCCGGCTGGGCAGTTGGCCGCGCTGAAGAGAAGTTGGGCCGACGCCAGGTGCGCCCCAGGGCAGTTGGGGGATTTGGGGGGATTTGGGGGGATTTCGGGGGATTTCGGGGGATTTAGGGGACTTTGGGGAATTTGGGGGTTGAGGGGGTTTAGGGGATTTAGTGGATTTAGCGGATTTGGGGGATTTAGGGGATTTAGGGGATTTAGGGAGGGTGGGTGGGGGTCGGGGGGGGGGGGGGGGGGGGGTAGTGAGGTTTGTGGATTGATGTGAAGAGGCTTTGGCAATTGGTTTCCATGTGTGGCGGTTTGGTGTCTCGGCCTGCCTGCAGCGTTGCTTCTTCACATTGACCCGATTCTGAGAGATGTTACCTGGAAGCCCTTTTGACTTAGTAAGCCTCCGTCGTATCCCCTAGAAACCCCTTTAGAAACCCCCAGAACCCAACTTACTAACCCGACTTACTAAGTCAAAAGGGCTTCCAATTGAGGCGCAGGGATCCGGTGCTTCGGGACACAGGTCACCCCACCGAATCCGATCATGGAACCCTCAAAACTCAAGGAGTCGCTACCCCTCACCGTCCATCTGCTGATTCTGCAGTATGCGAGTTTACGATGATAAGGGGTCCCCAAATATAGACCTAACCCTAACCCCTAAACACTAAACCCTAAACCCTAAACCCTAAACCCTAAACCCTAAACCCTAAACCCTAAACCCTAAACCCTAAACCCTAAACCCCTACCTGCTCAAGGTCACGGACTCCGCGGCGTTTAAGATGGGATTCCGACGCTCAGCGGTGAGATCCTGGAGTAGGCCCTTATTTCCTTGTTTTAGGGTTGGGGTTCCCCTACAATCCCCTTAAAACCCAAAAGGGGTACCCTTTTTATTCCTGGGTTACTCCCGGGTCTCGGATTATTACAGGGGTTTGGGCATGCGTTTTGGGGGGATTTCTCAGCACCCATGTGATTCGCAGGCATGGGTTTTTCCCAGGCTCACCAAACACTGCCCCCATGGCGACTTGGGGGCGGTGTCTTTCTCTCTCTGCCTGCGAGCGGCACACACCCTAAACCCTAAACCCTAAACCCTAAACCCTAAACCCTAAACCCTAAACCCTAAACCCTAAACCCTAAACCCTAAACCCTAAACCCTAAACCCTAAACCCTAAACCCTAAACCCTAAACCCTAAACCCTAAACCCAAGAACGACCCGCCAACTGCAATGAATTCCATACGGGAGGGTCTCGGAACAAGCACAACTTCAAACCCTTGGTTCCCATGGCGTAAGATTTTGGGGCGAGCACTAGGGTTGAGCAAACCCTAAACCCTAAACCCTAAGCCTTAAACCCTAAACTGTTTACCCTACGCCCCAAACCCCAAACCCCAAACCCCAAACCCCAAACCCCAAACCCCAAACCCCAAACCCCAAACCCCAAACCCCAAACCCCAAACCACAAACCCCAAACCCCAAACCCCAAACCCCAAACCCCAAACCCCAAACCCCAAACCCCAAACCCCAAACCCCAAACCCCAAACCCCAAACCCCAAACCCTAAACCCTAAACCTGTTTTTGCAGCACCTCAGGCACTTGGCTTTACGCGAATGGAATCTGGCCGACCATACTTTGTGAGTCCGGTCCGTATGGCAGCTTGGTCCAAGATTCGTATACTTGGATGGTTTAGGGTTTAGGGTTTAGGGTTTAGGGTTTAGGGTTCAGAGTTTAGGGTTTAGGGTTCAGGGTACTTATTAATCAAGTATAGCTGTACTTATAGCTGTACTTATAACCATATTAGGGCACTTAATGGGCTTATAAGTGGGTTGTAAGTACAGTTATAATTGGTTAGTCAGTACCATGAACCTCCAAGTGTGATGCCAATGTTAGCGCAGTTCAGCAGGCAGTCACAAAACTAGCTACGAATAAGATGTGCTTGTAATCCCTATCGTATTTCTCTGCTAGAAACCACGCGAGCAGCTTAGCACAAAACTGTTGGTTGGTTGGCGGGAGCAGGACAATGCCTCGAGCTTTCACACTTTTCGCATTCTCTTCAACTCCACCTTCTGCTCTCTGCGCAAGGCCCACTTTTTCCAGGTCTCTCACCCTAAACCCCAAGCCCTGGCACAACACCCTAACCGGTCTCCGAATTGAGGCAACGATTTCGGTCCCCTCCCCAGCGACCTGGAAACGCGGCAGCGGATGCCCCTTGGTGCCATGGTTTGGGGTTTAGAGAGTTTAGAGTTCCCAGAAGCCAGCCTGGGGTTGTCGGGTTCAGCGCAAGAAGGGGAAAAAAGGGCTTTGGAAGCCTTCGGCTGCGCCATGCTCGTCCTAGAGACGCCCTAAACCCTTATCCCTTAACCCTAAACCCTAAACCTTAAACCCTAAGCCCTAAGCCCTAAACCCTAAACCCTAGACCCTAGACCCTACACCCTAAGCCCATGAGCGAAGCCCGAAGTGAAAGAGTACGCTTTGCGGCCCCTGCCCAAGGCTCCGGGCCACGCCGCTGATTGTCAGCAACTTGGTCAGTCCAATCTTGATCCTTTTGGGGTTTAGGGTTTAGGGTTTAGGGTTTAGGGTTTAGGGTTTAGGGTTCCTTTTCTTTCAACTGCCTCACTCCAAAGCCTGGCGGCCCTCACTTAAGTGAGTCTTTTCTTCACCTTTGATCCTGTACCTTGGGATGGTCCCCCTTCTAGTAACAGTCCTCATTCGCCAGTCTACTAGGGGGTACTATAATCCCTGTTCAACCCTAAACCCTAAACCCTAAACCCTAAACCCTAAACCCTAAACCCTAAACCCTAAACCCTAAACCCTAAACCCTAAACCCTAAACCCTAAACCCTAAACCCTAAACCCTATACCCTAAACCCTAAACCCTACTCATGACTGTTCGTATACGGGGGAACATCCCAACCTAAATCTGAAGCCCTAAACCCCTAAATCCTCGACCCATCGAAAGTCGATGCGCGCATCGAAGTAATTCATGTGGGAGATTTTCCAAGAGGTGCTCTCCTGTTTTGGGTACTCATATAGGTATGGCTCTCAGGGCGGTATGAAGCTTGGGGTGTAGGGTTTAGGGTTTCGGGTTGAGGGAGAGGAACCCCAAAAGGATCAATATTCGGACTAACCACCCATGACCCAAGTCTACTCTGATTATAGCGTGTGCGCAAGTGTTTCGCTGGGCCAGGGCGCTCTGGGAGTAAAGAATCCGACATTCTTCCACCCTACACGCTAAACCTGTGTTATTTCTTCCTGCCCTAAACCCTAAACCCTAAACCCTAAACCCTAAACCCTAAGCCCTACACCCTACACCCTACACCCTAAACCCTAAACCCTAAACCCTAAACCCTAAACCCTAAAACCTAAACCCTAAACCCTAAAAAACCCTAAACCCTAAACCCTAAACCCAAACCCGAAACCCTAAACCCTAAACCCTAAACCCTAAACCCTAAACCCTAAACCCTAAACCCTAAACCCTAAACCCTAAACCCTAAACCCTAAACCCTAAACCCTAAACCCTAAACCCTAAACCCTAAACCCTAAACCCTAAACCCTAAACCCTAAACCCTAAACCCTAAACCCTAAACCCTAAACCCTAAACCCTAAACCCTAAACCCTAAACCCTAAACCCTAAACCCTAAACCCTTAACCCTTAACCCTAAACCCTGAACCCTGGACCCTGAACCCTGAACCCTAAACAAACCCTAAATCCGAAACCCTAAATCCGAAACCCGAAACCCGAAACCCTAAACCCTAAACCCTAAACCCAGCAGGCAACCACGTCAGCTACTTGGAGACATCGCTGCAGGGAGCAGGGGCATCACTTCGATTGTGCTGACGGGCTTACATCGCCTTTAGCAAGGCCGAGGTTCCCTAGGGTTTTGGGTTTAGGGTTTAGGGTTTCGGGTTTCGGGTTTAGGGTTTAGGGTATGGGGTTTAGGGTTTAGGGTTTAGGGTTTCGGGTTTGGGGTTTAGGGTTTAGGGTTTGGGGTTTAGGGTTTCGGGTTTAGGGTTTAGGGTTTAGGGTGCATGCCCAGGACACGGTGGTGCTGCCGCTGGTGCTGGAGGCCCGTTTGAAGAACCAAAGGAGAACCCAACCCGCGAGCCCTAAACCCTAAACCCTAAACCCTAAACCCTAAACCCTAAACCCTAAACCCTAAACCCTAAACCCTAAACCCTAAACCCTAAACCCTAAACCCTAAACCCTAAACCCTAAACCCTAAACCCTAAACCCTAAACCCTAAACCCTAAACCCTAAACCCTAAACCCTAAACCCTAAACCCTAAACCCTAAACCCTAAACCCTAAACCCTAAACCCTAAAGCCCTGACCCCCCAAAAAGAGTGGAGGGTATGCTCTCCCCCCCCTCCCTCCCACCCCCAAAAAAATCTTCGCTTTCACCCTACGCCCTACACCCTAGACCCTAGACCCTAAACCTTAAACCCTAAACCCTAAACCCTAAACCCTAAACCCTATAAACCCTATAAACCCTATACACCCTATAAACCCTATAAACCCTATAAACCCGATAAACCCTATAAACCCTATAAGCCCTATAAACCCTATACACCCTATGAACCCTATAAACCCTATTAACCCTATAAACCCTATAAACCCTATAAACCCTATAAACCCTACAAACCCTTCAAAGCCTATAAACCCTAGACCCTAAACCCTAAACCCTAAACTATAAACCATAGACCCTAAACCCTATAAACCCTACCAACCCTAGACCCTAAACCCTAAACCCTATAAACCCTTTAAACCCTAGACCCTAAACCCTAACCCTAAACCCTACAAATCCTATAAACCCTATAAACCCCATAAACCCTATAAACCCTATAAACCCTATAAACCCTATAGACCCTAGACCCTAAAACCTAAAACCCTATAAACCCTATAAACCCTAAACCCTAAACCCCATAAACCCCAGACCCTAAACCCTATAAACCCTATAAACCCTAGACCCTCGCCTTCGGCAGGTTCCCAAGATCATTGCCATGGCCGAGGTCGCCTCGTGGCCCCTCTTCGGCCAGCTCTGCCAGGACTCCGGGAGGTAGGGTTTAGGGTTTAGGGTTTAGGGTTTAGGGTTTAGGGTTTAGGGTTTAGGGTTTAGGAGGATTTAGGGTTTAGGGTTTAGGGTTTAGGGTTTAGGGTTTCGGGTTTAGGGTTTCGGGTTCGCGGTTCAGGGTTTAGGGTCTTAGGGTTTTAGGGTTTGGGGTCTAGGGTTTGGTTGTGAAGCTCAGTGGCTTTCATGGCCAACCTAGTCGAACTTTGCAATCGGTTGAGCATTTGGGGCGCCGGTTTTTTCGGGCTTATGGTTTTGGGTCTTAATCTTTAGGGCCTTTACGGTTTTAGCTTTAAAGCCCTTGGGGTCCTATGGGCTTGGCCCTTCCTTGAGGGGATGGGCGGAGTATTTGAAGGTTCATGGACTGGTTAAAGGGTCGTAAGTGCCTCAAAGATGCTTGAGGATGTGCCTTAAGATTTCGCGTAGATATTGGGGTTTCGGTTTGTCATGCAGCCCTAAACCTCGAAACCTCTAAACCGTAAACCCTGAACCTACACCCTAAACCCTACACCCAAAACCCAAAACCCTACACCCTACACCCTACACATTAAACCCTAAATCCTAAACCCTAAACCCTAAGCCCTGAACCCTAAACGCGGCGAGTGGAGGAGTTGGAGATGATCTGGGTGGACCGCTCCTCGGCCGAGTCGCGGCGCGCGGCCAAGGCCCCGAGCTCGTCACAACCCGAAGCCATGGTTAACACCTAAACCCTGAGCCCGGAACCCTAAACCCTAAGCCCTAAACCGTAAACCCTGTAGGACCAGTTTTGGCCATCCCAGGGTTTAGGGTTTAGGGTTTAGGGTTTAGGGTTTAGGGTTTAGGGTTTAGGGTTTAGGGTTTAGGGTGCATGGAACCATCCAAGCAGGAAGCCATAGCCAGCCATGCTGCTGAGTGGGAGCGTGGAGATCGGCCCTTGCCCGGAAGCCTAGCTGCTGGTTTAGGATAGGGTTTAGGGTTTTGGGTTTAGGGCTTAGGGTTTAGGGTTTAGGGTTTAGGGTTTAGGGCTTAGGGTTTAGGGTTTAGGGTTTAGGGTTTATTGAAGTTGGTTTAGGTCCGGGGAAAGTTTCAAGGAAAGTTTCCCCTTTCAACTTTTGAATAATTTCAAGTTACAGTAAGGTTTAGGGTTTAGGGTTGAGGGTTGAGGGTTTAGGGTTTAGGGTTTGGGGTTTAGGGTTTAGGGTTGAGGGTTTAGGGTTTAGGGTTTAGGGTTTAGGGTTGTCAAGGCCTCAGTCTCACCTTCAACTCTGTGTGAGATTTCGGCGTCTGGGCTCCATGAGAGTAACATAGGGGCCTTAGTAGTCAGAATAGGGATTTGGGGGTGATTACTATATGATCATAAAAGGGACCATAAGGGAAATACTACTAATATCTTTTTCCGACCCCTATAGTAGGGTGCATTAGGAATCTGAAGCTAGGTCTTGGGATATTCAAAGTGTTCCCACTATCGAGTTTAAGAGGATCTTAGTGGAACCCATTTTCCAGGGAGGGCTTTCGTGGCCAACCTAGGGTAGAGTTTTTGGACTGAAGGGGTTGCAGAGAAAGGCTTTAGGCTTTCCAGTGTCTTCACAGTTCTGCTGAGTTGGGTTCCGCCTTCGTCTTGGAGTTGGGGTACTTTACAGCCCGGGTTTAGGGTTTAATTCGGCTCCTAAACCCTAAGCCCTAAACCCTAAACCGGAACCCTAAACCCTAAACCAAAAACCCCAAACCCCAAACCCCAAACCCTAGACCCTAAACCCCTGAGCATCCCCTTTTTCGAGGTACATATGGGACTGTAGAGGCTTGCCTGCCAAGGCTGATATGGCCCGAAGGGACTACGTCCAACGGCCAGGGCATCAAGGACTTCAAGCAAGGCCACTCTCCCTAGGGTTTTGTGTTTAGGGTTTAGGGTTTAGGGTTTAGGGGTAGGCCGCAAACCCCACCTCTGATACTGCGCTTGTTGCAGGGCATTGTTGGCATGTGCTCGTGTTGTAGCAGAGCTGCAATGCGGAATGGCAGACGTAGCACACCCAAGAGGTAGCCCCACTAGGTTTGGGGTTTAGGGTTTAGGGTTTCTGCTTTAGGCTTTCGGGTTTAGAGTTTAGGGTTTAGGGTTTAGGGTTGAGAGGGTAAGGATGCCCCCCTCGGCATGTTCTGCATCTCCCAGAGTAGTACGGATCCCAAGGGGATGGTCCTTTGGGTTCCGCGCGCGTGCGGCCAAGTTGTGTGCGCAAGGCCAGAGATCATCCGATATGTGGAGCCCTCCAGACCTCCGTTGTCTAAAGTCTAACTACTGGTTCTTGGTAGTACGGAACTCGGGAAGTGCTTACAGGGCACTACAGGATATAAGGTACCTCCAAGATTCCCAACCAAGAGCCCGTCAGTTCCTTCAGATCTTCGGGTTTCCGCAGCCTTGGCAGCCCGAGCTGTCTCCGAAGTATCAGGTGGGAACTCCAGGCGCCCTTAGGATCGATCCGAAGTACGGGCGCTCATTATACTCCTTATACCCTAAACCCTGAACCCTAAGCCCTAAACCCTAAACCCTGAACCCTGAACCCTGAGCCCTAAACCCTAAACCCTAAACCCTAAACCCTAAACCCTAAACCCTAAACCCTAAACCCTAAACCCTGTAGGGACCCAAATTAAAAGCCCACACTTGGAACCCGAGATGAAGGTGCTTTCTTGCCCGGGGTGCCTGTGCGGCCCGTGCTGATCAAGTACACCGGCGCTTTGGTGGGCAATGGTTCAAGGTTTAGGGTTTAGGGGATAGGGTTTAGGGTTTGGGGTTTAGGGTTTAGGGTTTACGGTTTAGAGTTTCGGGTTAGGGATTTGGTGGGCAATGGTTGTTGAACGCGGATCCCAACTCCAACTACGGCTGGGGATCAGGACTAGGGTTTACGTCCTTGGGAAGTGAGGTAGCTAACATAGACCCTAATTTCCTCATTCCCTATCAAGCACCCATAAGATTGAGGGGGGTATTCCATACTCACCTAGCGGCGTGAGGTTTTCAGGTTCCAGTGCCTGCCCAAAGAGCCAGAGTGAACCTGAAGAGGCAGACGCCTCAACTCTCGACGCCAGCCATCAATTAGGGTTTAGGGTTTAGGGTTTAGGGTTTAGGGACTAGGGTTCAAGTTTTTGGCTCGAGGTTGTGTGCGAAAGTACCTTGTGAAGTCCTGAGCAGAAGCCGGTATAGTGGTCCCTAAACCTTAGGGCAGCCAAGGGTTGGTGTCCGTCCCCAAAAACAACGCAGCGAGGCAATCATACACCCTAAGCCCTAAGACCTAAACCCTAAAGCCTAAATCCTAAAGCCTAAATCCTAAAGCCTAAATCCTAAAGCCTAAATCCTAAAGCCTAAATCCTAAAGCCTAAATCCTAAAGCCTAAATCCTAAACCCTAAACCCCAAACCCTAAACCCTTAACCCTTTTGCAGGGGACTGGGATCCCTCCAATGTCAGCTTCCGAGATGCTCAGGCCAGGGCGGCTCCGTGGGTTTAGGGGTTACGGATTAGGGGGTTGTGGGTTTCGGGTTTAGGGTTTATCATGGTTAAGGGTTGTTTTAAGGTTTAGGGCTTGTGAGTTTAGGGTCAGGTTCAGGGTTCAGGGGCTCTTGAGGTTCAACGTCAAGGGTACCTAAGGCCTGCAACTCTAAACCCGTCCGAATCCCAAGAAGTCCCCATCCCCTCCCCCCCCCCCCATGCCCTGAATCCCTCCCGGCTGCCCAAGCTCTCCAAATCTCCAAACCTCCAAAGCCCTGAAACCCCTAACTACCTCCCCCCACACAAAACAGGTTGAAATACATAAACATGTAAATAAATAAAAATATGTATATAAAAAGAGTTCCTGTCACGTAGAAAGACTCATGATGGTACGGTTTCTATGTTGGGTTCTTGGTGTCGCGAAGCATGAAGTCTAGCTCCCAGACCAAGGATTCAGTACTAAGTGGTCATTTCCAGTCCAGTTAATAGAAGTGTTGTAGATGACCTGGAAAAGCTGGACTGATTCGCGAGGTTGGAATCATGAACTTGGTAATGGTTTTAATAGGTGTTCTGGGAGTGATTGACCATTGAGTCCCGAAGGTAGATCTAGAGCCAGGATTCATGAACTAGATGTAAAGGGAGTCATGAGGGAGTGATCTGTGAGTGAACAACATGACAGCTTACCTGGTGATGACAGTACTAATCCTAAAGGTAGATCACCCGGGCATTTAAGTACATATATATATATATATATATATTTATATATGTATGTAACAATATATATATATATACATACAGACATATATAAATATATGTAAGTATGTATATATATATATACACACATATGAACATATATACACATATGAACATATATGCATATATGAACATATTTATATATGCTCACCCTCCCCCCCCCCCCCATGACCTACCGTGAGGCTGTGTCGGAGTAAGAAATCCATACTTAGTCATAGGTAAGAATTTAAAAAGAACCCTATTAATTGAACGAAAACCCTATGAAATTTAATACGAACCCTATTAAAATTAATAAGACCCTTATTGAAATCAATAGGAATCTTATTGAATCAATAGGAATAATGGCTTGGAATCAGATTTGAGTCAGAGGAACTGTATCAAACGTCACAGGAATGCTATTAAAATGTAGAAAAATAATAGGGCCCCCATGAAGAATAGTAGGGAGCCTGTGAAAATGAAAAGGGACCCTTTTTGAATTCACGGGAATGTGGGAATTCCATTAAATCTATATAGGGATCCTATTAACATTTCTCTTACTCTTGTTATGATGAATTAGAATCCTATTCAATTTTTTAAGGAACCCCACTAAAATTCATAAGAACCGCTTTACAAATTAAGAGGAATCTTTCACATGAAGAGGGTCCTACCATCAATAGGAATCTATAAGCAACACCACTAAAAATCATAAGAACCCTCTTGCAAATTAATATGAATCCTTTGAAAATGAAGAGGAATCCTACTAAAATCAATAGGAATTAATGGGAACCCTATGAAAATAAATATGAAAATTCATAAGAATATTATGAAATGGTAGAGGAGTCCTATTAAGATGGTTAGGAACCCTTTGACGTTAATCGGAGTTTATTAAGAGCCCCAGTAAAATGCCTAAGAACCCCATTACGAATTGATAGGAATCCTTCTAAAATGAAGAGGAATCCTATTAAAATTAATAGGAACCAATAGGAGTCCTACAAAATTCAGTGTGGTTCCTTTTCAAAATTTCTTGGCTTCCTGTTAGACTTAATGTGATTCCTATTAGACTTAATGGGACTAGGAATGCTATTCAAATTTCCAAGAATACCATTAACATTACTTGGAGGCGCACTAAAATGAATAGGCCCTAACATGAATCTTAAAAAAGACTCTTAATTTCAGAGGAACCCTATTGGAATTAAAAGAAACACTTTAAAATGATTAAGAACCTTGTTGAAATGCATAAGAACCCTATTGAAAAGTATTAGGAATCCTCTGATGTTGAATAAGAAACCTCTGAAAGTTCATAAGAATATAAGTAAAATGAAAAGAAGTCCTATAAAGATGGTTAGGAACCCTTCTACATTAATAGGAATAGGAATGCTATTGCTGAGATTAATATAAGACTGACCAAAACCAACGAGCCTCTAAGCATGCTGACACGTCCTGCTTCGAACCAAAACCGTCCACTGGACAGCTACATGTAGAGCTGAACGGTTCAGGCCCGAGAGAGGTACGAGGCAAAACCAAAAAACCAAAAAACCCATCTTTTTTAGAGAATGGGGAGGGGATTTTGAAAAATATGGTGTTTTTGGTTTTGCCTCGTAAAAAGATGGTTTTGCATAGGAAAACCAACTTTTCCCTCGCAAAAAGATGGTTTTCCTTAAGAACACCAAGCCAAAACCATCTTTTTACGAGGGAAAAGTTGGTTTTCCTATGAAAAGCCATCTTTTACGAGGCAAAACCAAAAAAACCAAAAAAAACATCTTTTTTATAGAATGGGGAGAGGAATTTGAAAAAGATTGTTTTTTTTTGGTTTTGCCTCGTGAAAAGATAGTTTTTCATAGAAAACCATCTTTGCCCTCGTAAAAAGATGGTTTTGGAGACAAAAACCAACTTTTAACGAGCAAAAAGATGGTTTGTCATAGAAAAACCAACTTTTCCCTCGTAAAAGGATGGTTTTCCTGAGGCAGACCAGACCAAAACAATCTTTTTACGTGGGAAAAGTTGGTGTTTCTATGGAAAACCATCTTTTTACGAGGCAAAACCAAAAAAAACCCTGAGCCAAGAACCAACTTTTACCTCGCAAAAAGTTGGTTTTCCAGAAGCAGACCAGGCCAAAACCATCTTTTTTACGAGGGAAAAGTTGGTTTTCCTATGAAAAACCATCTTTTTACGAGGCAAAACCAAAAAAACATCTTTTTCAACATCCCCTCCCCATTCTCTTAAAAAGTTGTTTTTTTTGGTTTTTTGGTCTCGCCCGTCTCGGCGTCCAGTCCTGTGGTCCGTGTGGGGTCTGTTTTGTCGAGAGACAGCCACTGAGAGTAGCAAAAAACGGCATAGGGCACGAGCGGGTTTTAAACGGTATTTACGAGGGAAACAGATCTGGGTAGGTCATGGGGGGGGGTGTGTCCATATATATATATATATATATTTATAATATATATATATATATATATATATATATATATAGATAGCGCGAACAACATCCAGAATCCTCAAAGAGAAGCAGCGGCGCCAGGGCACGATGAAGCCGGCGGAGGCGTACGGAGACCGCCAGTGGCTGGAGCAGCAGCTTGGCCCGGGGATGCAGAGGAGACGTTTTCTGGGGGGAGGGGGAGTAGGGCTTAGGGCTTAGGGCTTAGGGCTTAGGGTTTAGGGTTTAGGGTTTAGGGTTTAGGGTTTAGGGTTTGGGGGATTCGGATCTTACCTTAGGTTCAGGGTGTGGGGTTTAGGGTCTAGGGCTACCGGGCCTTGGGGACGTTGTCTGTTGAAGGGTTGTCGGGGTTCAGGCTTGAACCTTTGCAGTGTTGGGGTTTGGGGTTAGGATTCAGGGCGGGTTGAATCGGGGTTTTGGCTTTGGCGTTTAGCCCTAAACCCTACAATCCTGGTTCAGGTGAGCAGCCCGGTTTCAGGGCCGTTTAAGCCGGAGGGCCTCGATGCACTTCTTGCAGATTTCGTCTCTGCTAGAAAAATTTCCTGCAACCCCAGGTTTCGGGTTTAGGGTTTAGGGTTCAGGGTTCAAGGTTTAGGGTTTAGGGTTTAGGGTTTAGGGTTTAGGGTTTAGGAACCCTCAACCCCTTGCCAAGCCTTGCCAAGCCTTGCACCTCAGGTTCTTGGGTCACATGCTGCACAGCTGTGCGGTGCCTCGCCAGCACAACCTGCTGCTGCATCAGGGTCATGCCCCAGAAGGTGAAGCGAGCTACATAGGGGTCGGAATAATTGCTAAAGGTATTCCGAGACCCCCCAAAACGCTATTCGAATCATGACGGCCCCTAGAGGAACCTGGGATTTGGAGGTTCAGCGCCCAGGAGTCTAGAGTTTTTTTAGTTCACGGGCTTGGGGTTTGGGTTTCGAGCTCAGGGCATTCGTCCTTGCCCGAAGCCTTGGACTCTTGTGGCAGGCAGGCAGTTTCCCCAAGAGAAGCCTTTCGTATGCCTCTGACGTGAAGGTTGAGGCCACATGTAGGGTTCTTAGGGTTTAGGGTTTAGGGTTTAGGGTTTAGGGTTTAGGGTTTAGGGTTTAGGGTTTAGGGCTTGGATTTAGGGTTTCGGGCTCCAAGTCCTTGCATGCCCTAAAGCCTTGAGAGCCCAGAGGGCCCTGAGAGCCCCCAAAGCTCTCAGCTAACTAACACGAAGAATCCGAAGCCCTAAACCCTAAATCCTAAACCCTAAACCCTAAACCCTAAACCCTAAACCCTAAACCCTAAACCCATTCTCCTCAGGTGCTGATCTGCAAGCCCTACACCCCGAGCCAGGAGGAAAAGGCCAATCCAGAGCTGTTTAAGGCCGGGGGATGATCTGGGGTTCACCGTTGTAGGGTTTATAAGGTTTAGGGTTTCGGGTTTAGGGTTTAGGAAGTTTAGGAAGTTTAGGAAGTTTAGGGTTTGACCCTTGCAACCACACTCCAAACCCTAATCAAGGTTTTGGAGACCCCTTGGAGTTTCTGGACCATAGGAGGTAATGAAAAAGCGTTACGGCTAGAAGGGCTGTTATGTAAGACCAAATTTGAAAGTTGGTTGGGATCCTGAACACTGTTGTTTTGCAGTTCTTTGCGGGCAGCCGTACTTCTTGGAGGCCAATTTGGTGGGGGTGGTTGATCATCCGGGGTTTGGGGCGAAGGGCCATAGCCCCCTTTGAAGAACTTGACCTTACTTGAGAATCCCGTCGCCGACAGGGATTCGTGAATCCCTCAAATTTCTCGGCCCCGAACCCTAAACCCTAAACCCTAAACCCTAAACCCTAAACCCTAAACCCTAAACCCTAAACCCTAAACCCTAAACCCTAAACCCTAAACCCTAAACCCCATTTGAACGTTTCATCGGTGTCTTCAGGCAGGCGCTTTCAGGGTTGCTGGTCAGTAGCATCGTTCTCTCCAAGCCATCCGCGCCCCCCCCCGGGCCCGAGCCTAGAGCCTGAAAACCTGAACCCCTCAAAGGCATCCCCTAAAACCCTAAACCCTAAACCCTAAACCCTAAACCCTCCTAAACCCTAAACCCTAAACCCTAAACCCTAAACCCTAAAACCTAAACCCTAAACCCTAAACCCTAAACCCTAAACCCTAAACCCTAAACCCTCAACCCTAAACCCTAAACCCTAAACCCTACCCTAAACCCTAAACCCCAAACCTTCAGGCCAACGTGCACAAGCTCATGTCCGAGCGCCCCTCCTGCATGTGCAGCGCAAGAAGTGATGGTTTGGGGGCTTTCGGGTTTCGGGTTTAGGGTTTAGGGCTTAGGGTTTAGGGTTTCGGGTTTAGGGTTGAGGGTCGCAAGTCAGAAGGGCTCAGCTGTTGACAGGGCTGTAAGAGCTTGAAGGGCTTTAGGGCTTTACTTAGGACGGCTTTGGAACATAGGGTTTTGGGGATTCATGGCTTGAGGGTTGAGGGCTAAGCCCTACTAGACGAGATTCTGGCAGGTCGCAGCTGGCCGTGAAAAAAAACGATCAGACAACAGCAATGCAACTTTCATGAGTCCAGCTTCAGGAGGCCACTGAACTAGACCTACAGATACAGACACAGACACAGACACAGACACAGACACTGACACACGACACACACGAGACACACGAGACACACGAGACACACGACACACACGACACACACGACACACACGACACACACGACACACACGACACACACGACACACACGACACACACGACACACACGACACACACGACACACACGACACACACGACACACACGACACACACGACACACACGACACACGACACACACGACACACACGACACACACGACACACACGACACACACGACACACACACACCACACACACACGACACACACGACACACACGACACACACGACACACACGACACACACGACACACACGACACACACGACACACACGACACACACGACACACACGACACCACACGACACACACGACACACACGACACACACGACACACACGACACACACGACACACACCGACACACCACGACAACACACGACCACACGACCACACGACAACCCACGACACACACGACACACCACGACCACACGACACACACGCACACACGACACACACGACACACGACACACACGACACACACGACACACACACACACACACACACGACACACACACGACACACACGACACACACGACACACACGACACACACACGACCACACGACACACACGACACACACGACACACACGACACACACGACACACACGACACACACGACACACACACACACACACACGACACACACACACACGACACACACGACACACACGACACACGACACACACGACACACACGACACACACGACACACACGACACACACGACACACACACGACACACACGACACACACACACACACACACCACACACACACGACACACACGACACACACGACACACACACACACGACACACACGACACACAACACACACACGACACACACGACACACACGACACACACGACACACACGACACACACGACACACACACCACACACACACACACACGACACACACGGACACACACACACACACACGACACACACGACACACACGACACACACGACACACACGACACACACGACACACACACACACACACACACACACACACGACACACACACACACGACACACACGACACACACGACACACACGACACACACGACACACACGACACACACACACACACACACACGACACACACACACACACACACACACACACACACACACACACACACACACACACCACACACACACACACACACACACACCCACACACCCACACACCACCGCACACACACACACCCGCGCGCACACACCCGCGCGCACACACCCGCGCGCACACACCCGCGCGCCAAACACAACAACCGCGCGCACAACCCGCGCGCGCACACACACGCGCGCACACACACACAGCGCGCACACGCACAGACGCCACCGCACACACGCACACACGCACACACGCCACACACGCACACACGCACACACCACGACACACGCACACACACAGCACACGCACACACAGCACACCACACACACACACACACACACACACCACAACACAACACCCACACACCACACACACACACACCACACACACACACACACACACAACACACACACACACCACACACACACACACACACACACACACACACACACACACACACACCACACACACACACACACACACACACACACAGCACACACACCCACACACACCACACACCACACACGCGCACACGCTCACACGCACACACACACAACACACACACCCACCCACACCCACACCCACACCCACACCCACACCCACACCCACACCCACACCCACTCACACACACCCGCGCGCACACACCCGCGCGCAACACACACCCGCGCGCACACACCCGCACGCACACGCACACACGCACGCACCACCCACACCCACACCCACACCCACACCCACACCCACACCCCACACCCACACCCACACCCACACCCACCCCCACACCCACACCCACACCCACACCCACACCCACACCCACACCCACACCCACACCCACACCCACACCCACACCCACACCCACACCCACACCCACACCCACACCCACACCCACACCCACACCCACCCACACCCACACCCACACCCACACCCACACCCACACCCACACCCACACCCACACCCACACCCACACCCACACCCACACCCACACACACGCACACACGCACGCACACGCACACACGCACACACACGCACACACGCACACACGCACACACGCACACACGCACACACGCACACACGCACACACGCACACACGCACACACGCACACACGCACACACGCACACACGCACACACGCACAAACGCACACACGCACACACGCACACACGCACACACGCACACACGCACACACGCACACACGCACACACGCACACACGCACACACGCACACACGCACGCACGCACGCACACACACACACACACACACACACACACACACACACGAGACTCCATATCTAGAGACGTGCATATGACATGACATGGGTCGCCAAGGGCGCGACCCGTAAACCCTAAACTTTAAACCCCTGGTTCACCTTCAGGAGTGCGCTGTTTCATGCCTTGGAGGACCCCAAAATACCCATCAACAAGGGCCCTCGAGCGCCTAAGCGCCTCTCATTCGGAATTTATCAGCCCACAGCCCCCAAACAAACAGGCTTTACACCTTGGAATGTTTCCCTTATGCTAACAGTCCTTAACAGGGATTATGGTACATATCCTGTTATAATCCCTATTAAGAACTGTTAGTATAGGGGGGAACATCCCAATCTGCACCCTAAGCTGCATGCTGGTATCAGGAGACTCGATGAGCTGAATCAGTACACAGAGCGCCAGAAGCAGAACAAGGCTGTTTGCTTGGGGAACTTTGTTCGATATGGAATCTGACAATGAAAGGGATCCAAAACTCTCGAAGCCCCAAACCCGGGCCTTTAGCGACATGGGGTGACAGGGTTCAGTTTCCGGAGTTGGACGGAAGTTTCTGGCAACCACAAGAGCAGCAGCACGTTGTATGCTGCGCTGCGTATTGAACCCTAAACCCTAAACCCTAAGCCCTAACCCTGAACCGGCTACAACGCCCAAACCTGACCCTAAACCGCCTAAACCCTAAACCCTAAACGCCTCAACCCTACACCCTCAACCCTAAACCCTCAGCCCTCAACCCGAAACCCTAAAGATCTAGTGTAGGAACTCTTTGCTGCAAGGGGCACCGCGTATGTGCGCATGCTTCGGGTTTGAATTCAGAAACGCTGAGCGGTCTTAGGGTATAGGGTTTAGGGTCTTAGGGTCTCAGGGTTTAGGGTTTAGGGTTTAGGGCTTAGGGTCTCCCAAACCCCTAAATTCAGCCAGCTGAGCCCCAAAGTCTTCGTGTCCAGTTTGGGCTTTCGAGACTGGCGTCAGGGCACCGGCGTGCCCAAGGGCCTGAAGGAAGTGGGCGGCGCGCTGTTTGGCAATGCCCTTTGGCCAAACTTGGGGGTTTACGATACTAAGGGACTCCCTAAAATAAACCCCACATAGTCGGATGCCTTATAGGCCCCCTTCGGCTTGGGTGTGGGTCGTCAGGGTTTAGGGTTGACGGCTGCCATAAAGTCTAGGCTCCAGGGCTTTTAAATTTGCACCTGCTCTCTACAGCTCCTTCCTGCGCACCTTCTGGCAGGGGTGGGGGACGGGGGCGGAGGGGAACGTCTTCGGGGTTTCGAGCTTTTGGGCATCGTTCAGGAGCTTATGTGCTTAGAGGAGTTTGGGGGGTAATGTTGTGGGATGGTTGAATGCTCAGGGTTTGGGTTCAGAGGGTGTCAGGAGCAACATTTTTTTTTGTCTTTTTGATAAGTCTTTTCAGTTTTTCCCGTTTCGGTTGTCGGGTCTAGACCCTGAACCCTAAACCCAAAGCCCTAAGCCCTAAGCCCTAAGCCCTAAGCCCTAAGCCCTAAGCCCTAAGCCCTAAGCCCTAAGCCCTAAGCCCTAAGCCCTAAACCCTAAACCCTAAACCCTAAACCCTAAACCCTAAACCCTAACTAAACCCGAAACGAACGGAGGTCGAGGCCTTTCTGCAGACAGCGCAGAACCGGCTCTCGGCCGCTTGCCTCGAAAAAGAGGGCTTCAAGGTGGTGGAGGGCTGCCAGGTTTAGGGTTTAGGGTTTAGGGTTTAGGGTTTAGGGTTTAGGGTTTTAGGGTTTAGGGTTTTAGGGTTTAGGGTTTTAGGGTTTTAGGGTGTTAGGGTTTAGGGTTTAGGGTTTAAGGTGTAGCGGTCGTGGATGGTGCGGGGTCTTGGGAACAATTTCTTCAGGCTTCGAGGTAATCGCAGACCTCGTCATATACCAGAAGGTTCCCGGGTAGGTAAATGCGTTGGGTGGCGAGTAGAGATTCCGTCGGAGAGCCACAACTAGAGGTTCTTTATACATATAGTAGAGTAATAAGGACACCTACAGTAAACGCCATAAAGTTGGAACATGGTTTAAGGACGATTAATGCTAACATGGTTTAAGGGCGATGAATGCTAAGCCCTAAGCCCTAAGCCCCAAGCCCGAAGCCCGAAACCCTAAGCCCTAAGCCCTAGGCCCGAACCCCTAAAGCCCCGAAGGCCTAAGCCCTACAGCCTACAGCCCGAAGCCCCAAGCCCTACCTATATAAGCCCTTATAAACCCTAAACCTAAACCCTAAACCCTAAACCCGAAACCCTAAACCCTAAACCCTTAGAGCAACCCAGCTTCTGCCTTTTGCCCACGGCGACCCCTTCCCTTCCGCAGGAGAAGTCGGAGGAAGTGCAGACAGCCTTTCCTTGGCTGCAGAAGCCACTTGCCTGGCTTACTTGTGCTTAGGGCTTCTTAGGGTTTTGGGAGGGTTGTTAGGGTTTATAGGGTTTATAGGGTTTTAGGGTTCTAGGGTTTCAGGGTTCTAGGGTTTTAGGGTTTCAGGGATTCAGGCTTTTAGGGTCTTTTCTTAGGGTTTTCGGGTCTTTGGCTTCTAGGGTTTTTAGGGTTTTGGCTGGCTTCGGGATCCCTTGCGCGGTTTTCTGAGGAGAAAGGTGGGGTTTAGGGTTTTGGGGCAGCTGGCTCCTTACTTGAAGAGTTTTTCATCATGGGTGGCGTTACCTAGAGTTAAGGTGCTCACCACCTTACCCCTGAAGCCTAAGCCCCAAAATCTCAACCCGACTTGAAACGACCCATGAGCCTTCATGCGGTGCTCCCAGAGCGAGTCCGCAGGTCTTCTTGTAGGGTTCTTAAGGGAAGGGGGGTTCGGGGGGTACCGAATACTCCCCACTACTCCCTACAGCTCCCGAAGCTTCCGTAGGGTTCCCTAGGTACCTACCCGCCCCATGAACCCCCCTCCCTTAAGAACCCTTAAGAACCCTTAAGAACCCTTAAGAGCCCTATAGAACCCTATAGAACCCTATAGAACCCTATAGAACCCCATAGAACCCTAAACCCTAAACCCTAAACCGTAAACCCTAAACCCTAAACCCTAAACCCTAAACCCTAAACCCGTTTTGAAGACCCTACAATTGTCTGCAGGGGTGGAGCTGAAGCTCTTTGGGCTTCGTCGGGCGTTTTTAAGAACTAGGGACCATGAGTCGGTCCTTATTCAATGAGTTCCCTTTTGGGTTTAGGGTTTAGGGTTTAGGGGTTCCCTTATGAGCCACTCTAACCCAAGAAGGGCACCCTTTTTTACTCCTAGGGCTGCTCTGGAGTCTAGGGCTGCTATGGAGCTTTGTAAGGCTTCATGGGGCTTGGTGGGGCAGGGCTTATAGACCCGGAACCCTAAGGCCCAACCCGAAGTGCTTTTAGGGTGTGGGGGTTCCCAGTTGACCCGCCTTCCGGGCAGGCTGACGGCCCGACGTCGACCCAACGGCTACATCGCCTCTTGACAAGTAGGATTCAGGGTTTAGGATTTGTTTCGAAGGTCGGAACCATGGGTCCTTGGCATGGTCCCGTACCCCTTGTTTTACAGGGCTATTTAGGGCTACTTAAGCCGAATGTAGGGGTTATTTAAGGGGGGGGCCCTGGGGGGTACAGAGGGGGGGTAGTAAGGTGACAGAGCAAGGGGCACAAATGAAGGGCCCATACTTGGAACCCTCCAGGGGATGGTCGGTTTTGCCACTTGTGGGGTCATCTAAGTCCTAAACCCTAAACCCTAAGCCCTAAGCCCGAAGCCCTAAGCCCTAAACCCTAAACCCTAAACCCTAAACCCTAACCCCTAACCCCCTACACCCTATGCAAGTGCTACCGACCCTTGGGTCTACCACGAGATGGATATGGTAACTTAACAAAAGGTCCAGGTTAAGTTCCTAAACCTGGAGCCCTAAATCCTACTAAACCCTAAACCCTAAACCCTAAACCCTAAACCCTAAACCCTAAACCCTAAACCCTAAACCCTAAACCCTAAACCCTAAACCCTAAACCCTAAACCCTAAACCCTAAACCCTAAACCCTAAACCCTAAACCCTAAACCCTAAACCCTAAACCCCATAATCCCTACATCCCTTTGTTGGGGTAGGCCCGGGACTCTCGTCAGCGAAGTCGGCCTGCCTTCGGCGCGAAAACCGGGCCCAGGAGCATTCGAAAGATGTCGGCGTTTAGGGTTTAGGGTTTAGGGTTTAGGGTTTAGGGTTTAGGGTTTAGGGTTTAGGGTTTAGGGTTTAGGGTTTAGGGTTTAGGGTTTAGGGTTTAGTAGGATTTAGGGCTTAATCCCAGGGTTTGGGGTTTAGGGCTTAGGGTTTAGGGGCTGGGAAATAAGCCCCAAACCCCCTCGTCTCCTCAACCCCGTTCTGATTGCCATTGTCTACACACCCGGCCTCTCTCCGAGAAAACCTGCGCCTTCTCGAGATGACTCTGATGTTGTACCCTACACTTTGAACCCTAAAGCCCCAAACTTTAACCCCAACACCCCCCCCCCCCCCGACCCTCAATCCCAACGAGGCTTGAGTGGGCGTCAACAAGTGGGGGGCTTCCACAGCACCCTGCACCCCCACGTCCGCAGTGAGTTCCGGACGTCCATTTTCCCGACTACTCTGGGTTCGCAGAGCTAGGTCTTCGAGTCCCCCAGCGGTACACAAAGGTACAAGCCTAAACCATAAACCCCGACCCGAAGACCCAGAAGTGTCGTGGTTTGGGCACGTGGACCTTGAGTGCAAGGTTTGAATGAAGCATGATGGAAGAAACACTGGAAAGCGTTCAGGCAAGCTGACCTCTATTGTCTACGCGTGTCCCTAAGAATATCTTTGCCGTAGTTGTTTAACATTGTAGCCGGTGCTGCCTCTTTCTCGTAAGTGTGTGTGCACCATGTATGGATCCCAATGCAAAGCTTTGCTTGCCTCCAGTTTATTGCGGGGTTTGGGTCAATTGATCCGCCTCCTGTGTTAGTGTGCCGCGATGCTTGTGCAAGCATGTTTCTAGTCGCTGTTCAATCGTTGGCTGCTTGCTGCCAGCCTAAATTCCCTGAAACAGCTGACAGGCTCCCAGAGTTCCGCGCCCCCAAAGACTAGACCCGGCCTACTTCCACAGCAAGTACCTAGGACCCAGAGTAGGGCCCTTATTACCTTGGTGTTAAGGGTGTAAGTTACCTTGTAAGACCTTTTTGAACCAAAAAGGGGCACCCTTTTTTTGTTCCTAGCTTACTCTTGGGGGCACCTGGGTGCCTGTCGAATTCTTGAGGCTGCGCCAGCCTGTGACCTAAGTTTTAAACACCGCACTGCCAACGACTACCGACCGGCTTGATGGCCCCAAAAGCATGGCGGCGGCTGTCGGATGCAGTTGGGTTTAGGGTTTAGGGTTTAGGGTTTAGGGTTTAGGGTTTAGGCTTTAGGGTTTAGGGTTTAGGGTTTAGGGTTTAGGGTTTAGGGGGGTTGATCCTATGCCCCATAATTAAGCCTTAAACCCTGAATGAGGAGCCTTGTAGTACGTACCTTAAACGCTGTAGGGCTTCCACAGGTGGGAGGGGGAGCTTTACAGGGGGTTTGTTTAGGGTTTAGATGGTTTAGATTGCTTGCTTGTCAAGACAAATGGGGTTCGAGGTTTGAGAGGGTTTAGAGGGTTTAGAGGGTTTGGAGGGTTTAGAGGGTTTAGAGGGTTTAGAGGGTTTAGAGGGTTTAGAGGGTTTAGAGGGTTTAGAGGGTTTAGAGGGTTTAGAGGGTTTAGAGGGTTTAGAGGGTTTAGAGGGTTTAGGGTTTAGGGTTTAGGGTTTAGGGTTTAGGTTTAGGAGACAGAGTTTGGGAACTAGGGACTGGGGCTTGGGATTTAGTTCCTGATGCTTGCTGCGGGTTTAGTTTTATGGGGCCTTTGGGAGGCCCGAAGCGTCTTGCAGGAGTTTAGGGATTCAAGACTCAAGGTTTTGGGCAGTTTCCTCAATGCCCGCCCCGCCCATCGTAAGACTGCCTAAACCCTCTAAACCCTCTAAACCCTCTAAACCCTCTAAACCCTCTAAACCCTCTAAACCCTCTAAACTAAACCCTCTAAACCCTCTAAACCCTCTAAACCCTCTAAACCCTCTAAACCCTCTAAACCCTCTAAACCCTGTAAACCCTCTAAACCCTCTAAACACTCTAAACCCTCTAAACCCTCTAAACCCTCTAAACCCTCTAAACCCTCTAAACCCTCTAAACCCTCTAAACCCTCTAAACCCTCTAAACCCTCTAAACCCTCTAAACCCTCTAAACCCTCTAAAACCTCTAAACCCTCTAAACCCTCTAAACCCTCTAAACCCTCTAAACCCTCTAAACCCTCTAAACCCTCTAAACCCTCTAAACCCTCTAAACCCTAAACCCTAAACTCTAAGCCCCAAACCCACAACCCACTGAACCCTTAAACCCCTCCTCAGCCCTTGGCCCTGCACCCGAAGAGCCGTCTGAGGTCTGCAGACATGGAGCGCGGATTCCCCATGCAGCTTGGGCGTGGAGTTGGGAGGTTTAGGGTTTAGGGTTTGGGGTTTAGGGTTTAGGGTTTAGGGTTTAGTGTTTAGGGTTTAGGGTTGAGGGAGTTAGGGAATGTAGAGCTTACTGCTTTGGGCATACTGGTGCTCCGGGGTTCGATGATTCACGACTTAGCGGCTTACGGTTTCGGGTTCAGGGTTTAGGCCTACGGTTCAGGGATCAGTGTTATGGGCTTGGAGCTGTGTGTGTGGGTGGGGTGGGGCACCCTAGAGGAACCTGTGCCCTCAACTTCAACACCCCGGCCGCCCCGCCCCCTAAAGAAAGAAGAAGCAAAAAGGAAAAAGAAAACAACACAAATCTTCGCTTTCAAGCCCCAAGCCAGAAAACTCAGAATGCATATACAGCCTAAACCCTGAACCCTAAACCCTAAACCCTAAAACCCGAAACCCTAAACCCTAAACCCGAATCCCTGCATCCCTGAACCCTGACATCCCTGAAGCCCAGAAGCCTGGAATTCTCAGGCCCAAGGGCTGCTACTACAAGGGCTACCCCACCGGGAATCGGCGTGAGGTCCGTGTGGTAGGGTTTAGGGTTTAGGGTTCGGGGTTTAGGGTTCAGGATTTAGGGTTGAGGGTTGAGGGTTTAGGGTTTAGGGTTAGGGCGCAGGGTTCAGGGTTTAGGGTTTAACTAGGGTCTAGGGCGCAGGGATTAGGGTTGAGGGGATTTTTGAGGGTTTGCAATGGGGCGTGTTATGGCCTTTATGGGTTTTTGCTAGGGCTGGCTATAGTTTATGAGGGGTTTCGGGTGTGGGGTTGGTTTCTCCGCCCCACCGCCTGACGACGACACCGACCTTAAACCCTAAACCCCAAACCCAGATAAGGTTTGGGGGGGGGGGGGGGGGGGGGGCAGATTGTTTGGAGAAAGGCTCTGGGACCCTTTTTGTTTTTCTCAAGTCTCAAGTCATGGGCATTTCGGTGGTCTCTGTTACAGGGTACCAGCGCAAAACCAGAATTTACATCTGGGCCCCAAATGCCAAACCCTAAACCCCAAAGCCTAAAACCCTAAAAACCCTTAACCCCCAAAGCCTAAAACCCTAAACCCTTTAACCTTTAACCCTAAACCCTAAACCCTAAACCCTAAACCCTAAACCCTAAACCCTAAACCCTAAACCCTAAACCCTAAACCCTAAACCCTAAACCCTAAACCCTAAACCCGCCGTTCCGCAGCAGGTCTTCGTCGTGTTTGAGGGCAAGAACGGCCTCCGCCAGTCCACCACCTACCAGATGGCAGCGCCCTGAGCGTCACTGTTGGGTTGAGGGATTTAGGGTTTAGGGTTTAGGGCTTAGGGCTTAGGGTTTGGGGTTTAGGGTTTAGGGTTTAGGGTTTAGGGTTTAGGGTTTAGGGTTTAGGGTTTAGGGTTTACGGTTTGGGGTTAGTAGGGTTAGTAGGGTTAGTAGGGTTAGTAGGGTTAGTAGGGTTAGTAGGGTTAGTAGGGTTAGTAGGGTTAGTAGGGTTATTAGGGTTTAGGGCTTGCTTAGGGCAACCCCTGCCTGGGCCATGGCTAAACTTGAGGCGCTCGAGCCTCCTCGTACTCTTGCAGTTTGACTTTTCTCATGCTCCCCGATTCTTCTATGCTGCTCCTTCTGATTCTTATACTTCTTACTACTCCTACTGTGTGCTTCTTCTTCTTCTTTTGTTGTTATTGCTCTTCTTGTTCTTCTTCTTCTTCTTCTTCTTATTCTTATTCTTATTCTTGTGCGAATTCTTATCCTTTTTCTTGATTGATCGGAGTCCCGCCTTGCAGCTGCTGGCACGTGAGCAGGAAACTGGTCGGAGCGCAGTAGAGGGAATTACTTGGAGGTTCATGGGTACTTATAAGTAGGGTTATACAGTTATACATACCCCTAAATAAGGTTATGACCCTAAACTCCAAACCTTATATAATCCCTAAACCCTAAACCCTATCCCCTGCACCCTAAATCCTAAACCGTTATAACCCTACTTAGAAGTACCCCATGAACCCTCAAGTAGGGTTCAGGAAGCCACGTTGCTTGCACCTGCAGGTCTTCAATGGCATCGTCTTTCCGGCATGCTTTTAGCCCAAGCCCGAAACCCTAAACCCTAAACCCGAAATCCTAAACCCCAAACCCCAAGCCCTAAGCCCTAAACCCTAAACCCTAAACCCTAAACCCTAAACCCCAAACCCCTAAACCCTAAACCCTAAACCCTAAACCCTAAACCCTAAACCCTAAACCCTAAACCCTAAACCCTAAACCCTAAACCCTAAGCCCTAAGCCCTAAGCCCTACAGTCTGAAGCCTAAACCCTCAACCCTGGGACCTTCCCTAAACCGCATTGCCAGCCCGGCTCCGGGGCCTCAGCCGTGGGTCTTAGGGTTCAGGGTTTCGTGCATTAGGTTCTGTTTTTGGTATAGGGATTAGGGGGTTTAGGGGGTTAGGGGGTTTAGGATTTAGGGTTTATGGCCTATGGCTCAGTCGGGTCTGCAGTTCTTGTTCGGTTTTTTTGTTTGGCGTTTAGGGTTTCGGGAACTTTCTACTTTGGGGCATTAATACTTAGAACAGGGTTTTGGGGGCTATTATAGTATAATTACAAAGGGACCACAAGGGAATACCATTCGTAATTATTCCGACCCCTATAGTAGGGTCGTTGGTTTGGGTTTAGACGCGAGGCCTGCAAATGCCGCCAGCGTGCCAGGTGAATGAAGACCAAGCCATCCCAATCAACAACCAGGCTGGGCTTTAGGGTTTAGGGTTTAGGGTTAAGGGTTTAGGGTTTAGAGTTTAGGGTTTAGGGTTTGGGGTTTAGGGTTTGCTGTAATAGGGTGTAGATGCTGTGAAGGTTAGGATGCAGCAGAGGCTCGAATGCCTCGTCAGGTGCCAAGAGCAGCTCTGGCCCGATCAGTCCTAACAGCCCGAAGCGAACGAACCCAAGCCCTAAACGCCCTAAGCCCTGAAACCGCACCCCAGGGCCAAACAGCATTCGACACCCAAAGCAGAAGCCCTAAACCCTAAACCCTAAACCCTAAACCCTGAACCCTAAACCCTAAACCCGGAACCCCACCTTTCCAGAGGTGGTGCAGTTTACGGAGCTCGTGGAGCCCTTGCCTCAGGGCTTTCGCAGATCTCTCGGTGGGAAAAGGGGGTTTAGGGTTTAGGGTTTAGGGTTTAGGGTTTAGGGTTTCGGGTTCAGGGTTCAGGGTTAGGGGTTTGGGGGTTTGGGGTTAAGGGGAGGGGGCCTAGGGTTTTGGGGTTTAGCCGCTGACAAGAACCTGAATCTCAAACCTCTAATGCAAAACATGACGGACTAGGGATCCAAAAATTACTGGTTCTCACTTGGGGGGGGTTTTGGGGTTTAGGGTTTAGGGCTCTTCACAGGCTTTGGGGTGCAAGGTTGAATACGTTAACGTGCTGCGCCCCTCTAGTATACGCGTAGGGTTGCACATCGGCATTCCTCCACTCACTCCCCTCGCACCTCCCTCCCCCCCCCCCCCCCCCGGGAGAAAAGAAGAGTAACAATTTAGGGTGTAGGGTTTCTCTAAGCCCTAAACCCTGCACCCTCGAACCGATACAACCCCTACCGCATGGGGCTTGTTCTAAATTTAGATTTGGTAGGTACCCTGTATAATAGGAACCCAAAATGAACCCAACTTCAGAACAAGTTCGCCGCATGCAGAGCGTATGCCCTTGGGCTTCAGGACGCACTGTTTCGAATCAATCGGCTTTAAATTTTCCGAAAATTCCTCTGGCGATTGAGTGCTTAGGGCTGCCTAAGCCCTACACCTTCAACAGGGTTTAGGGGTTAGGGTTCCTAAGCCCTGTTAAGCTTTCGAGGATCTTCCCGATGGACGACGTGACCTCACGGCCATACGAGGCCCACTTTGCAAGTCTGTTCAGCCGCCACGTTTCAACCCTAAACCCTAAGCCCTAAACCCTAAACCCTAAACCCTAAGCCCTAAACCCTAAACCCTAAGCCCTAAACCCTAAACCCTAAACCCCTAAACCGAAAACCCTAAAGACCCTGTAAATCCTGTGTGGCTTTCCCACTATGGAGCTCAGAAGTCTGGAACAATACCTGCTCTCAACACCCTACACACGCCCTGAACCCTGAAGGGCACCCTGGACCCTAAACCCTAAACCCTAAACCCTAAACCCTAAACCCTAAACCCTAAACCCTAAACCCTAAACCCTAAACCCTAAACCCTAAACCCTAAACCCTACCCCTAAACCCTAAACCCTAAACCCTAAACCCTAAACCCTAAACCCTAAACCCTAAACCCTAAACCCTAAACCCTAAACCCTAAACCCTAAACCCGAAACCCTAAACCCTAAACCCCAAACTCCAAGACTCCTGGTACAGAGGCCATCGAGCGAGGCCTGGCGATGCTGACCACCGAGCCGCAGGTGCGCTTTGTTGAGGGTTTAGGGGTTTAGGGCCTTAGGAGTATAGGGGCTTAGGGGATTAGGGGATTAGGGGTTTAGGGGTTTGGGGGTTTAGGGGTTTAGGGGCTTAGGGGCTTAGGGGCTAGGGGCTGAGGGGCTCAGGGGTTTAGGGGTTTAGGGGTTTAGGGGTTTAGGGGTTTAGGGGTTTAGGGGTTTAGGGGTTTAGGGGTTTAGGGGTTTAGGGGTTTAGGGGTTTAGGGGTTTAGGGGCTTAGGGGTTTAGGGCCTTAGGAGTTTAGGGGCTTAGGGGTTTAGGGTTGAGGGTTTAAGTGGTTTTAGGGTTTAAGGTTTTAGGGGTTTAGGGTTTGGGGTTTAGGGTTTCATGTAGGCCATGTGCCAGAATGTCCACTTTGATAGAGGGCTTAGAATCTAGCTCACGGTTGACTTGAAAGTTCATGCGTGATTCTCATGCCTGCAATCATCCATGAACCCTTGTTTCTCGAGACTGGACGTAGGGTGCCAAGGTCTAGTACGTCGAGCCTTCTTTGTGTCGTTTCGAGCCCCGAGCCCTAAACACCCAATCCCTATTTGAAACAGGGTCTATATTTCTGTTATGGGTGAGTGTGTATATAAGGTTCCTCTTTAAAATTGGAGAGTGTATACAGTGGGTGTCCTTTTGGGGATACAAGCAAATATAAACCCTACATTATTTCGGTGTGGTGGCATGGTCGTCGGCTTACTCCTTAGAGATACCCGAAAACCCTAAACGCTAAACGCTAAACGCTAAACCCTAAACCCTAAACCCTAAACCCTAAACCCTAAACCCTAAACCCTAAACCCTAAACCCTAAACCCTAAACCCTAAACCCTAAACCCTAAACCCTAAACCCTAAACCCTAAACCCTAAACCCTAAACCCTAAACCCTAAACCCTAAACCCTAAACCCTAAACCCAAACCCCCTAAACCCAAGGGGGCATGGTCGCTTTTCGGCTCACTCCGTAGAGAAAGAAAGAGAGGCTAAGAGAGCAGCACCCAGCTGCTCAAAGACAGCTCGCAGCCATGAGCCTGACCTTCGTCGCGCCCGTCGGCAATGCCGGCGTTGCCCCCGTCGATCAGGCAGGGGGTTTAGGGTTTAGGGTTTAGGGTTTAGGGTTTAGGGTTTAGGGTTTAGGGTTTAGTGTTTAGGGCAGTCGTATGTCTTCGTACCGTGAGGTTTAGGGTTTAGAGATATGAGATTCTGGAATAGCTCACCCAGTAGCGCTCTTCTTGGGTTCTTAACGGGGGACCCTAAGCAAGCTGCGCGGTAGGTGCACGCATAAGGCCCTTTCCTGAAACTGGGCCCCCGCGCCCCCTCCCCCATTAGGGTCTAGGATTGTCATCGTAGAAACGAAGCCATGCCATTGACCATATCTGCATCTCATGGCAGCGTAGCTCAACCCGGGTTCAGGGTTTAGGGTTTAGGGCCTAAACCCTAAACCCTACACTCAAGAAGTATATGGCTCCGGAGTACAGTAGGAACCCCTGGCAGACCCATGATTTCGCGAGAGTTGGCCACGTGGTAAAGGGTTTTTCAAAAATAGAGGAGCTCTTCTTGACCCCCCCCCTACCAAACAAAGTACTAAAGAGTCCTGGTTCTAGGACCCCACCCCCCCCCCCAAAAAAAAAAAAATAAAAAAAATAAAAAAAGAGAGTAGAAAACAACATCAACAACAGGGAACCCCATGTTGTGGCTTTTTTGTGGTTTTTAGTTCCTTGAAAGCAACGTTCCGGCGCCGTTTGCGTAGGCGTCCACGGTCCCACAGACTGCGCTGAGGGCCACCCAGGCACGAGGATACTTTGGGCTTCGGAGTTCTGCGGGTTTAGGGTTTAGGGTTTGGGGTTTGGGGTTTGGTGTTTGGGGTTTGGGGTTTGCGGTTTGCGGTTTGGGATGCTTTGGGTTGTTGGGCTGTAGGGTTTCTAGAGGATTTGGCAGCCTGACGGTTTTTGAGGAGGCTTTAGGGCTCCTTGTGGGCTGATTAAGTCTATCAGGGTCCTTAAGGAGGGGGGAAGGGGGTTCAAGGGGGGTTTAGGGTTTAGGGTTTAGGGTTTAGGGTTTAGGGTTTGGGGTTGTTGCTTAGGGTTTTGGGGTGTCTGTAACCCAAGGTTCCTTACTACGCCCCCAATACTCCCGAAGGCTTCCTAAGCTTCCCCCGGGTTCCCTGGGTACCAACCCCTATGAACCTCCCTGAAGAAGGACTCGATAATCAGTCTATCAGGGTCGTTAAGGTTTTTGAGTGCTTCGGCGTTGTTGTTGTTTACTTGCCGATCCCAAGCGCTAGTTCGCAGGTCAGAGCGCCCCCCCCCCCCCCCCCCTGGAGGTTTCTTATAGCCCTCAACCCCGAACCCTAAACCCCAAACCCTAAACCCCGAACCCTAAACCTGAACCCTAAACCTAAACCCTAAACCCTAAACCCCAGCTCGGCTCCTGAATCATAGCACAAGGCTTCGCACGCGCTTTCAGAAGACTTCGTGTTCAGGGCTCTGGGCTTTCGGAAGGTACGAGTTTGCAGCCCAATCCTATCAAGGGAGCCCCAACCCCTAAACCCTAAACCGAAAACCCTAAACCCTAAACCCTAAACCGAAAACCCTAAACCCTAAACCCTTCACCCTAAACCCTAAACCCTAAACCCTACACCCTAAACCCCAAACCCTAAACCCTACACCCTACACCCTAAACCCTAAACCCTAAACCCAAAACCCAAACCCTAAACCCCAAACCCTAAACCCTAAACCCGAAGTGGGCAGGCCCAGGGCTCCCTCTCCACCACTGCGGCCGCCGCCCTCTGCGGCGCCGCCGCGGCTGCCGGGCTTGCAGCCAACCGCCGGCCGCTAGTCGCGGTTTAGGGTTTAGGGTTTGGGGTTTAGGGTTTGGGGTTTGGGGTTTGGGGTTGGGGGTTTGGGGTTTGGGGTTGGGGGTTGGGGGTTGAGGGTTGAGGGATGAGGGCAAAGTTCAGGGTTGAGGTTGAAGGGTTGAAGGGCCTCAGGGATAGTTTCCTGGGAAGGGTTGTGTGTGTGTGTGTGTTCTGGAATCAGAGAAGGGGTGGAGTGTTTGAGGCTATCTTGGTGGTTTGCCTTTTTTTCCTGTAGAGGTTGTTGCTTGATTGAGTTGAGGGTTTCAGGGGCTTTTTCAAATTGAAAAGGTTTTTCGGGTTTGGGGGGTTTCAGTGGTTGGTAATCTGTTAAGGAACTAGGGTTCAGGGTTCAGGGTTTTGTTGTTCGGTTTTTTGCTTGACATCTGGGAACAGGGCTCTAGGGTTTATGGCTCTACTTGGAGGTTCAGGGTACTTATCAACCAATCATAGCCGCACTTATAACTGTACTTATAACCCTTTTCGGGCACTTAAGGGGCCTACAAGTGGGTTCTAAGTACATTTACCTAAACCCTAAACCCTAAACCCTAAACCCTAAACCCTAAACCCTAAACCCTAAACCCTAAACCCTAAACCCTAAACCCTAAACCCTAAACCCTAAACCCTAAACCCTAAACCCTAAACCCTAAACCCTAAACCCCTTTAAGCACAGTGGATACTGGCCAATATCATGAACCTCCAAGTGGGGGTTTATAAGTTGGGGCAGCCTCCGATCACAGTGTGGCCGAGGCGCACTGCAAGGAAGGCCGAGCAGGACTCCCTTGTTGCAGGGTTTAGGGTTTAGGGTTTGGGGTTTAGGGTTTAGGGTTTAGGGTTTAGGGTTTAGGGTTTGAGGTTTAGGGTTTAGGGTTTGGGGTTTGGGGTTTAGGGTTTAGGGTTTAATGCGCGCGGCACTTGGCTTGGTAGGCGTTTGGGATGTCGCACATTCTGCTTGATTGGGTTGCTTGGACCCAGAGTAGGCTTTTATTCCCTTTTTTTCGGGCTTAGGTTCCCTTATCAGCCCCTGTAAACCAAGAAAGGGCACCCTCTTCATTCCCAGATTACTCTTGGGTCCAGAGATTGTCAAGAGGATCATATTTACCAGACGGTGTAAACGCCCAGCCCAGTTGGAAGCGGTCATCGCTTGCAAGGTTTAGGGGGGTTGCCCCTAGATGAGCAATTCTTGTCTTGCACCCGTTTACAACTTTCTACATTTCCCCCTTGCACCCTTTTCTACAGCCCTGTTTGTACATGAGCTAACCCGATGTAAATGAAGTTTCGCGGCCTCACAGAGCCTGAACCCCTGAACCACCCCTGAGCCCCCCAAACCCATGATAGACCCAAGCCCCTCAAGCCTAACCTGTCAGTAGGGTCGTCAGAATCGAGTTAACCCCAAACCCTAAACCCTAAACCCTAAAACCCTAAACCCTAAACCCTAAACAGTTGCAGGAGCTTGCGACCCTGCCCAAACACATGCAGCCAGTGGACATGAACAAGGAGTATCCCGCCTATGTCCCGGGCTCGGTGAGCTTAGGCAGCTTCGGGTTTAGGGTTTAAGGCTTTAGGGTTTTGAGTTTTGGCTTTTGGGGGGAGGGGGGGTGAGCTTCCCCTTGCTTATTGTTCAGTACTCTCTTCAGGACGTACAGCTGGAGGTATGCTGCCAACAGAAGCCCCAATGCTTTTTCGGAGACTTAGGGAAGATGCCAGAGCGGCCAGCCGTTTTTGGCACCTTATACTTGGAGGTTCATGGTACTTAGGACACAATTATAACTGTACTTCTAACCCAGTGATAACCCTATTAGGGTACAGTACTTAAGGGGCTGATATGTGGGCTAGAACTACACTTTATAGTGTGTTGCTAAGTGCCCTGAACCTCCAAGTAGGCTTTAACCGCTCTGGCCTTCCGAGGTCAAGGGCAAGAATGAGAACTGCATGATGCCTCAGATGGTCGGCGACTGGGGCACCCCTATCCCCGGCAGCGCCAAAGCCTGCTCGACCATGATCGGGGCGGGGGGTGTGGAGGTGGGGCTTTCCACGGGAGAGCCTTGGGACCCCCTGGGATTGTGCAAGCTCTATGACCGCAACTTTGATTTCAACGGCAACATGACCTTCCCGCATGTGCAGTGGCTCCGGGAGGCTGAGCTGAAGCACGGCCGCTGCGCGATGCTGGCGATCGTCGGTATCTTTGCGCAGGGCTCCTTCCACATTGACGGCTACCCTGAGGCGCCTTGGTACGAGGGCCTGAAGCAGTGCTACGACCACCCGCAGGGCATCGTGGGGCTTGGCATTGCTCAGATCTCGGCTTTCGCCATGATCATCGAGGGCAAGTACTTCCCGAAGGACTCCTGGATTGGCCAGATGGACCGGGAGCCGGGTGACCTTGGCTTTGACCCCCTCAAGCTCGCCAAGGATGCCCAAAGCATGGAGGCCATGCAGGTGAAGGAGCTCAAGAACGGACGCCTGGCCATGATGGCCTTCATGTCGCAGGTGGTCGGCCACTACCTGCCCGGCAGCGTGCCAGGAGTCTCGGCGCTTCCTCGCGAGGCAGCACCAGCCCACTCCCAAGCCTTCTGCGGCACCACCTCCAGCCTTAACCAGAGCACCTCCAAGACCGCGGCGCGCTACACCACCCAGACCATCCTCCCATCCCTGGCCTGGATCAAGACCGGTGTCTTAGTCATAGTTGGGTACCATTTTAGATTTTTAAGGGTACTTAAACCCAATAAGGAATAAGAATTTAAATCTTTAGAATTATCCCAACCATGAACTAGGTGTGAAGGCCTCGGAGCTCCAGCCCAAGCAGCTGAAGGCCCTGACCCTGGCTGGCAACGACGTCCTGATCGGCAAGACTGAGGCGGGCGCCCTCTTCTGCGTTGGCAACCTCTGCCCCCACATCGGTACGCCCATGAGCGAGGGCGCGGACGTTATCGGCGACGTCATCGTCTGTCCGCTCCATGGCTCTTCGTTCAAGGTCACCACCGGTGAGCTCCTCGACTGGTGCGTGTCCCCGCCTGTCATCGGCCCCTTGACCGGCCTCATCGTGGAGAAGAAGAACCTCCTGGTTTTCGAGGTCCGCCAGGGTGGCTTCCTGGGATCCGGCGATGTCGAGGTGCTTGTGGACACCAACGCCAAGAAGGCCACCTGAAGTTGACCCATGACCATACAGAAACACTCCAAATGGACATGCATCGCAGTGCGTTGCCGGAAGCATTGTCTCATGCGCATGGCAACAAAGTCTAGCATGTAATATGGCGTAGTTGTGGGTTTAGGGTTTAGGGTCCCTAAACCCTAAACCCTAACCCCTAACCCCTAAACCCTACAGCCCAAACCCTAAACCCTAAACCCTAAACCCTAAACCCTAAACCCCAAACCCTAAACCCTAAACCCTAACCCCCCCCTGAACCTGAGCTCCAGGCCTACGAGGCCTGGTACTGGAAGGGCCTCCTGGATGCCCAGGGCAAGGATGACGGAACCTACTACTGAGCTGCAGCCACAGGTAGTTTAGCCTCAAGATTGAAGAGCGGGAAGGTGCGCAGATAACTTGGAGGAGCAGAATTTCAGGGATCCCAGGGTCCTAATTTAGGGTTTAGGGTTTAGGGTTTAGGGTTTAGGGTTTAGGGTTCGGCCAAGGTAGATCAAGTCACGGACGCAATCGCGGGCGGTTTGCGAACTTGCCAAGGGCCCCTTTCCGCCACGTCTCAACCTCTCTTCGTGGAGAGTCGCGAGTTTTTACCCGCGCCTTGCAGATGGGCGTGGAAAGAGGCATGTGTGGCACGGTGTCCCTAAACCCTAAACCCTAAACCCTAAACCCTAAACCCTAAACCCTAAATCCTGAATCCTAAACCTTAAGGCCTACTCCAGCATGCACCAGGGGTTGCGTAATGTGGGCTCGAACCGGCTTCGTTAGGGCGAGTCAGCTTGCTGGTGGTCGGAATGTTTATCCTATGTCGTAGTTTGACGACCTTTGAAGGAGGAGCTCGCTGTTCTGCTTGGGGTGGTTCTGCAAGAGACAGCTTTCTTGAACCGATGCTGTGTGTGTGTGTGTGAGGATTCAACCAAGTATACTGAAAGGCGACGCCTTCATATGAACTGCAGCCCTCAGTCCTAAACCCTAAACTTGGCCCAAAGCCCTAAACCCTAAACCCTAAACCTTAAACCCTAAACCCTAAACCCTAAACCCGAAGCCCGAAGCCCGAAGCCCTAATAACGCCTAAGCCCTAGACCTGCGCGCCAGTCCCCGAGCCGGACGGATGGGACCGAAGATCCACGATTTTCCACGGGCGGCTTCAAAATCCTGGGCCCGGAGCCACGGCGATGTCTTTCGAAGGGTCCCCCGGTTTAGGGTTTAGGGTTTAGGGTTTAGGGTTTAGGGTTTAGGGTTTAGGGTTTAGGGTTTAGGGGTTAGGGCCCCATCTCGCCCTGCCCCCCCGCCGCAAACAGGAGTCCATGAGGGTTGAGGGCGATGTCAGGGTTTAGGGTTTAGTCTTTTGGGGAATTTCATTTTCCATCAGTGGGGTGCAGGAGGATTTCAACTTTTGTATAGGGCTTTCAGGTGCCGACCTTTTGGTTCATGGCGTTCCTCGCGCGCGTACAGCAGAGAAGCTGGCATGTGCTGCAATGCCTTGGTCATGCCCAAGGAAGCCTAAACCCTAATCAAACCCTAAACCCTAAACCCTAAACCCTAAACCCTAAACCCTAAACCCTAAACCCTAAACCCTAAACCTTAAATCCTAAACTCGATAATCCTATTTGCAAGGCTTGTGGGTTTAGGGCAAGCTCAGGGTCGTGCGAACTCGAGGCAGCAGGTGAGATGCTGGGCTTTTCGGCGTTTGTGGAGGAAGTTCGGCAGGTGTTCTTGAAGTAGGGAAGCTCAGCCCTACACTCTACAGCTGCTTTCAAGCGTAGAATTCCCGGGGCCTGCGCGTTTGGCGAGGGCTCTGACACCCTGAATCTCTCACGAGGCTTCAGAGATACAACCATCAACCCTAAACCCTTAAAGAAACCCCACAAACCCGAAGCTCTAAACCCTGAGGTCCCCAGAACGTGAAACCCCCACACCCCGAAACCACTGTCACGCACCCTGCTAACCTTAGACCCTAAGTTTATAAGCCCTATTTAAGCCTCCACAAGACATTAAATTCCGACAAGCTCTGTAAGCCCTTGACGGGCCTTTAATCCCCCATAAGCCCTATCTAAAACCCGATGTACACCCTTCAAACATAAACCTCTACAAGCATTGCAAACCATAGATGTATGTATGTATGTATGTATGTATGTATGTATGTATGTATGTATGTATGTATGTATGTATGTATGTATGTGTGTATGTGTGTATGTATGTATATAATCTGTATATACAGATCTAATGCGACATAAATCTTGAACACGCCCCTTGTATGTAGTATGTATGTATGTATGTATGTATGTATGTATGTATGTATGTATGTATGTATGTATGTATGTATGTATGTATGTATGTATGTATGTATGTATGTATGTATGTATTGTATGTATGTATGTATGTATGTATGTATGTATGTATGTATGTATGTATGTATGTATGTATGTATGTATGTATGTATGTATGTATGTATGTATGTATGTATGTATGTATACATGCATGCATACATACATACATACAGACATGCATACATACATCATACATATATATATATATATATCTATCTATGTAACTCCCTGATAAATGCCGAATCTTCCAGAAGTCCTTAAAGTCTCGGATGGGACTGAGGCGGCTACCAAGACCTCCTTCCCATTCAGGCGTGGGGAGTTTAGGCGTTTCAGGGTTTTAGGGTTTTAGGGTTTCGGGTTTTAGGGCTTTTCGGGTTTAAGGGTGCAGGGTTTGAAGGTGAATTACTACTTAGGGTTCCGGGTTTAGGGTTTAGGGTTTAGGGCTAAACCCTAAACCCTAAACCCCAAGCCCTAAACCGGTTGTGAGGGGGAGTGAGGCCCGTCGGACTGACGGGGGCTCACCCTTCATCGGGCTCGAGGGGTTATACCTGTAGGCCAGAAGACGGCTTGAGGCTCTTGATGATGTCTCCCTAAGCCCTAAACCCTCAACCCTAAACCCTAAACCCTAGACCCTAAACCCTAAACCCTAAACCCAAAACTTATGTCTTCCTTGCTTGAAAAAGATGTCTTGGGCTCCAGGTAGGGTTCAGCGGCTAGGGGCCGCCCCACCCAACCCCCCTGCAAGCAAACAACGAAGTACCGCGGCAATGGGTTAGTATAGCTTTTTCCACCTTGTGAATGACATGCCTTATGAGGTGGGTTGGGGTGAAGGGGGCAATTCTGCCCCTAAACCCTCAACCCTAAACCCTAAACACTAAACCCTAAACCCTAAACCCTGAACCCTAAATCCTAAACCCCTGCTCTTTGCCACAGGCCGGAGACAGCGCCTCGGCCGCAGATAGAATTGCCAGAAGGCCGGAAGGCGATGCAATGATGGAGGCCGTGCCGTCGATGTTTAGCGTTCAGGGTTTGGGGTTTAGGGTTTAGGGTTTAGGGTTACTCTGCAGGTTTCTGACCTAAGTCTTGCAAGGAACTTTCCTCAAGCAACGAACCATCCTTGGCAATCCTTGCGCCAATCGGGTACAGTATGCCTCACTAGGCCACCGGAAGTGTCATGCATGTTTCAGTTGCAGGTAGGGGTCGTGGTAGTAGCAGCTGAACTGGCAGTGGTGGTTGTGGTGGTAGTACTTGGGAGGTATTCGCAACAGCACGATCACATGTGCAGACCTAAGCCCTGCAATCCATCCGCAGCCATTCTCCCGCCTGGTTCTTTTAGTAGGGAATGAGGGAATTAGGGCCTATCTACTTGAAGGGTACATACATAGGGTCCTGAACCCTAAGCCCTAAGCCCTAAACCCTAAACCTAAACCCTAAACCCTATAACCCTAACAATTCCCTCATTCCCTACTAAGAACCAGCCAGTTCTCACAAGGTCTGAACATCGAAATGATGGGCTGGGAGACAACTGCAGGGCGAATACAGGGCTTGCAGCAGCCTCGGCATGAGAATTTCCCAAGAGGGGTTTAGGGTTTAGGGTTTAGGGTTTAGGGTTTAGGGTTTAGGGTTTAGGGTTTAGGGTTTAGGGTTTAAAAACGCCCGAAACCCGAAATCTCCCGCCCAAAGGCGCCTTGGCTGAAGGTTCCCGTTTGAACCTTGAGGTCAGTCATTGGGTGCACAGTTTGCCCGCAACCCCAAAGGCCTTGCAAGTGAGCAGCACTCTATCAGCGTCATTCACCCTCCCCCCCGGATTAATGGCCGCCTACTTGGAAGCCCTTGTGTCCACTGCGTCTCCTCTAGAAACCCCTGTAAAGTCCCCACATCCCAACTTTCACGAATCCAACTTGCGAAGTTAACACGGGCTTTCAAGCCAGGTAAGCCCCCGAACCCCACAGGCTCAAAAAGCCCAAGGCCCCCCCCCAGATCCCTCAGCCTACTACTGTCTGCCTCAGAATCCCCCCCCCCCCCCCCCAAAAAAAAAAAAGCATGAAAGATGGTAATCCCCTTATTGCCCTTAGAGGAAGAATTCTCCCTCGGCCTACTACTATCTGCGTCAGAACCCCTCAGGAAGACCACTTTTTTTTTTTTTATAGTGGCTTTTCGCGGGTTCTAGAATAGCTTAGGCTCACGACCCTGCGCAGTGAAAGTCTTCAGGGTTTTTAGGGTTTAGGGTTTGAGAAGCCCCAAGTAGGGCATGCCAGCAGGGCTTAGGGTTTGGGGTTTAGGGTTTAGGGTTTAGGGTTAGGGTTTAGGGTTTAGGGTTTAGGGTTTAGGGGTTTAGGGTTTGGGGTTTAGGGTTTTGGGGTTTTCGGATTTCAGGTTTCGGGTTTAGGGTTTAGGGTGGGTTTAGGGTTTAGCCTAACCTGTCCAGTTCTTAAGTATTGTTGTTCCCTATATTATGTATATATATATACACATGTGTGCATATAGATACGTATATCTATATGACTACAGATTGTAAGAGGGTGGGGGGGGGGGGTTGAAACATAAGACTTCCAACTTAAACCCTAAATTCTAAGCTTAGCAAGCCTCTGTCCCCCCTAAACACTAAAGACAAAACCCTATACCCTAACCCTAAAACCCTAAAACCCTAAAACCCTAAAACCCTAAAACCCTAAAACCCTAAAACCCTAAAACCCTAAAACCCTAAAACCCTAAAACCCTAAAACCCTAAAACCCTAAAACCCTAAAACCCTAAAACCCTAAACCCTAAACCCTAAACCCTAAACCCTAAACCTTAAACCGGGGATGCAGCCTGCAGCCTCAGGGACATTGTGCGCATCTTCCTGTGGCCGCTGACGCAGCCATCCCCTCAGCCTTAGGCTACTTCCGGGTTTAGGTTTAGGGCTTAGGTTTAGTTTCGGGTTTAGGTTTAGAGTTTAGAGTTTAGGGTTTAGGGTTTAGGGTTTAGGGTTTAGGGTCAGGTTTAGGGTTTAGGGACCCTCGAGTCGGGGCAC